CAGTTATTGCGATAGGCCTAGGCGTGACCTCCATCCTCTCAACTCTAGGAGTGGCAGGATGGACAGGTGTGACATTAAGTACAGCTAGTGCAACACTCCCAACAATAATTTTCACTTTAACTACCGCAACGTCGATGCACTATTTCATGCATGTGCTTCGAGCCATGACAGAGGATCCTACCCGGGATCAAAAGAAAATCGCTTTTGGTGCAGTCAGCTTTCAACTCGTACCGACTCTAATTACTGCTGGTAGCACAGCCGCAGCAATGCTGAGCATGGTCCTAGTAGAGTCACCGCCCTTCAAAACCATAGGAGTTTGGACAGCAGTCTCTTTGTTTTACTGCTGCGCACTCCTATTTCTCGTCGTTCCACACCTCGTCGCCTGTATTCCTAAATTAGCTGGCTCAAAGTGGCAAAATATAATACAACCTGCACTAAACCAACACGCTCGTTACGTCGGGAAAATGAGACAAATAAGTCTAATCGGAGGATTGGCGTGCGTTTTCTCTATGCTTGCGATAACGCAACTCAACATAGATGACGACTTCGTTAGGTTTTTTGGAGAGGAAACAACATTTCGACAAGATACTGAATTCGTCTCATCGACCCTTATCGGTCCAACCAACCTCGAAATTGTAGTCGACTCAGGTAGCCAAGGGGGCGCGACTAAGCCAGAGTTTCTTAAAAACCTGGCAAAACTGACAACTTACGCAAGGGGACATCCTCAGATCGATAGCGCTACAAGCATTATTGATATCTATGAAAAAATAGTGCCACTACTTTCCGAAACCGGTGTATGGAGAGACCTAGAGGAATACGGGCTCGCACAATCATATCTTATTTATGAACTTTCACTAACCTCAGAACAAGCTCGCACTAGCTATGTTGACTCAGACAAACAACTTGCACGCGTATCGCTTGTTGCAAAAGATTTATCTTCAAGACAAATAGTCGAGCTTGAAAAGGAGTTATTCAATCAGAGCTCTACTCTTTTCCCAGAAAAACGAATAACGGTAACTGGAGAAGCGATTCCTCTGGCGCACCTTTCGCGAGAGAATATTCCTGGTGTAGCTACATCTTTGATCGCTACGTGCGCGATTCTTTCCATACTATTGGCAATCTATTTTCGAAGCATCAGAACTGGTATCGCACTATTTTTCACTACTATCGTACCGATCATATGTGGGTTTGGAATCTGGAGCCTATTCGCTAACGAAATCGGCATAGCGACAGTAGTTACTCTGGCGGTTTGTATGGGTGTGGTTATCGACGATTCAGTTCATCTAATTTACCGATACCACGATGCAACAAAACGTTTGGGACTTGGCTCGCTAGAGGCTGCATCTTACGCAGTCCATAGGGTTGGTGGAGCCATAATCACCACCACCTTGATACTCGCACTGGGGTTTGGAGTACTCACATTTTCAAGCTTCCAAATAAACAGTACATTTGGTCTCTGTACAGTTTTAATACTTATTAGTGCCTTACTTATCGATTTGCTTATATTGCCAAGTTTGTTACCGTCTACAGCCGATATATCTACAGCAATAACGAATGAACAGCGCTCAGGAAATCATTCTTAGCAACGAAATGCAGTACTCTGAGTACGCGCCTCAATACGACAACCTCTGCGATATAAACCCCGCATATCAAGAATTGATCGCCCTTTTTTCCGCTAATTTAAAAACACTGGACCTATCAAACTCACCTGTTGTCTGCGACCTAGGTGCCGGTACGGGGAATTTCGTCTGTGAGATGCTTTCTCAAGTACCAAAAGCAATCGTGACGCATGTAGACCCAAGCCCAGAAATGAACGCGTTAGCCAAGGCAAAATACGCAAAGAAGGGGCTCAACGTAAATATTATTGAGTCCAGCATGGAAGATTGGGAGTTTGAAGCTAACTCCTTGGACCTAGTAGTGTGCGTGAATGCATTAAACAACGCTCCGCCGGCCCTACCAATGCTAAAAAAGATTTGCCGCTGGTTAAAACCAGGAGGATATATCTTTCTTGTGAACTTTGGACGGGAGATAAAGATATTAGATTGGACTTGGTTTCTTCTCAAAAACTCATTAAAAAACAGAGGCGCTGCTAAAACCATACGCTCAATCTATCAGACACGTAAGGCTTTCAGTTCAAACAAAGCTGGTCGGGGTGACCAAAAAAACGGTAGGCTCTGGACGCATACATCTAATGAGTTAGCGGATATCGTACGAGCTTCGGGGTTCAAAATTAGAAACTTTCAAACCTGCTACAGGGACTACGCCGATCTAGTCCTAGCCGAAAAACCTTTTCAAACCGACCCCAAAAAGTAACTGCTTAGATCTCACAAGGAATGAAGAATAAATCTCTTAACGCACAGGTCGGTCTGAAGCACACTATAGTGGTTCAAACCATTCAAGAAGCGTTTTCCCGCAAAGATATTCCGAATTCGGTCATTGAGGGACTCATTTGCCAACTAGATGCCGCAGGGATTAAAAAACAAAATCAAAGTTGATTCTTTAAAAAGGAATCTACGGATATCCGCAGCGTCTCTAAGGCGAGAAGCTCAGTTTGGTCATAATCTCGCGCTTAGACTTTCAAATAAGATGATCGCAACGATTGCATTTGCATACATTGCATCTGCTTATGTCGAGTACTCTGTCGCAGAGCTTTCTTTCAACACTCTTTGGCTTAGGATCGGGGTTGCGCTTAGCCTGCTACCGTTGCTTTTCAAAGATTACTGGCCGTTTGCAGCCAAGAAACACGGATACTTGATATCCAACACGATCATAGGGGTTATTTTTCCACTCTGTTTTGGGCTTATTTTGATCTTGAACGCAGCCTGGGATAATGAATCCAATTCGATAAATATATTCGCAACAATGGAATATGTTTTATCAACGTTTTTATTGGTTCAAATAGTATTCCACGTGAGGGTGGTGGTGGTGATATGGTCGATTTCAAGCTTGCTCGTGGCCATTTGCACTTGCTTTGTAACAAACCCGAACTTGAGTCTAATATGGCTACATGTTTTCTATGTAATTCCCTTCTTTCTAACTATATTGCTTGTCGGCGGGATTATTAATCAAACTGTTTTTGTATTTCAAGACCAAAAAGAAAAAGCAGTCTGGAACGTTGCAAACGCGATCGCTCACCAGCTGCGTACACCGCTTGCAACCATACGAAATCTTTCACATGGGACAAGAACCCATGTACCCATGCTTGTCGAAAAGTACCGCCTTGCGCTCGAAATTGATTCCACTTTGAAACCATTGAGCAATCGAAAACTAGAGTTGCTTAACGACGCGTTGGTAAATATTGAAGAAGAAGTCGAATACTCAAACGCTCTGATAGATATCTTAATCGCCAATTCCAGACCATTTGACTATGCCGCAGCACCAGGCCAGAGCATCTGGATCACAACAGCGATCGAAACCGCGGTGAACACGTACCCGTATAACAACCCGCGAGAGAGGTCGCTAGTGAATTACAATCCGACCAACAGTTTCAAGGTTGATGCATCAGAACGCATGATCTGTCACGTCATGTATAACTTAATTGGCAACGCTGTGGAGTTTTCACAAAAGAAACCAGACGGCAAGATACGGATCTGGCTGGAGCAAGGTGAACAGTGGAACAAAGTTATCGTGTGGGACAGCGGCATAGGTGTACCACGACACTTCCAGCATCAGGTGTTCGACATGTTTTTCTCTCGCAACTCACCTAACGGGACAGGCATTGGTTTGAGTTTCTGCAAGGCGGTAATGGAAGGCATCGGGGGGAAAATAGAATGCCAGACTCAAGCAAATGAATACTGTCAATTCACGTTATCTTTTCCCCATCCTGCGGTTTAGGCTTCAAAGAGCGCATACGCATTACGCGTCAGAATCTCTTTTTGTGGCGGATGCTCACTAACGTCAGCCAACCCATCCACATGAGGATAATCACTACCCCACATAATGCGATCAGGACCAACCAGCTCCAACGTTGTGTCTATGGTGCGCTCTAAAGGCTCAGCCACAAAGTAGCAGTTACTTTTAACATACTCACTGGGTTTCCTGGTTATCGGCACTAAACCTTTGAAGACTTCATACTTGGCGTCTAATCGATCCATCAAATACGGAGCATAACCAGCGCCCGCCTCAACACTCACCATCTTCAGCCGGGGAAACCGCTCAAACAACCCGTCGGTAATCATACTGGTGAGGGCAGGTATCATTTGACCTGTCGCGCCGAGGCCGAAACCGAAGACAGGGCCGGGACTGGTCGCATGCCACTCAGCGAACGGCACCGCCGATCCCGAGAAACGAACCACCACATGCAGACAAGCTGGAATGTTGGCATCTTGGCAGATATTCCAGATACGGTCGAAATGAGCATCTCCCGGGCGCCGATTAGAAACAGTCTCCGGAGGTACGAATAAAGCTTTAAAACCCATCTTTATGCAGCGTTCAAGTTCCTGCGCCGCAGCCCCAACATCATGCCAATTGATGATGGCAACAGGCCAGATCCGGCCACCACAATCCTTCGCAAAGTCGTTCATCCAATTGTTATAGGCACGACAGTACGCGTTGGCCAGGTCCTGATCCTGCGTCGGAAATGGCAATATACAAATCGTCGGGAATACTAACGATCGCTCGATACCCCAACGGTCCATTTCCACGATGCGGGCTGCAGCGTCGTAGCTTGCAGGTGGGCACCCATCGATATAGCGCATACCTGGGGTAAAAAGTTTCTGTTTCTCTATGTGTGCACCACCCAGCCCCGCAAGAACACCTTGCAGAACCACTTCTTCACCGATGACCAATTGCTCCACACCATCCACTTCATCAATTCGAATGGCGCGATCTTTAAACTCTGCTTCAAGGTAGTTTTTCCACAAATCGGCAGGTTCTAAAACGTGGGAATCGCAATCAATCATTCTATTTACCCTTTCAACCCCAGGTGAATTACCGATAGCATAAGTCACATTGAGTTGAGATTCGACGCGGGGGCAACGATCACCATGATTCATCGCAAAATGGGGTACCTGACGGCAGGTAATCGTAACGCGGGAGCAGCGGCCGAGCATCTGGAGCAATACGGATACGTTTTAGTGCCCGGTGTATTGTCAGAATCTGAAGTGGCAGCCCTCGCCAGCGAAATTAATCACGTCTTTGCAACACAACCGCCAGATGAGCGCAGTGATCGGTCGGAGGAAGCCAATGCCATGTTCCGCTACGGCATGTTGAACCACAGCGCACTATGCCAGGATATGGTGGCCCACCGCGGCATTCTAGATGTTATCGAGCCGCTGCTTGGCGAAGACTGCCACGTCATTGCCAATACGGCCTGGCGCAACCCGCCAAACAGCATTGGCATGCACGGCGGTGAAGCCTGGCACATTGATGCTGGCCCACATGTACCCCTGGCTGAGGGTGTCACCTGGCCCGCAGACATTCCTCACCCGACATTTGCTGTCGGGGTGCACATCTATCTGCGCGAATGCACGCTGCAGGATGGCCCAACCGGCGTATTAGCGGGCTCTCATTTATCCGGACGGTTTCCGCCATCAGATCGCCGCCTGGATGACGACCTGACCTACAATGAACAAGCTGTGATCCCACTGCTGGCACAACCAGGCGATGTAGGGTTTTTTGTTTCCGATATCTGGCATAGACGCATGCCTACGCTAACGGGTGATCAGGGTCGTTTTTTCCTCCAGGTACACTATGGAAGGCGCGACATCGCGCAGCGTATTTCTACCACAGACGACACAAATCACTTATCCTCCGACGCAGTATCGCGAGCCGTGACTCCGCGACAAAAAACAGTTGTTGGGCTGCACGCGCCCATGTTTTACGACGGTTAATCCATTATTATCTAACTTTGCCAAGAGAGTTCCCCGCCTATGAGCCATCCACAACTTGAACTGACCAATGACGAATTGTTGTCTACCACAAGAGCCGTGCGTAAACGCCTGGATTTTGACCGACCAATAGCTACCGCCACCATTGAAGAATGTATGCAGTTGGCTGTACAGGCGCCTTCCGGCTCCAATGCACAAGGCTGGCAGTTCATGTTTGTGACAGATGCTGATAAGCGCGCTCGCATTGGCGAACTGTATGCGCAGGCGTTTAATCTGTATCGAGAAATGCCCATAGCCATTCATAATCTTCATAAAGAAAGCGCAGATACCGCGCTGAAATCCAGCCAGGATCGATCTACCTCCTCAGCTGAATATCTGGCTGAGAATATGGGCAAGGCGCCGGTTCTGCTTATCCCCTGCATCGCAGGCCGCACCGATCAAACCGCGGGCGCTGGCAACCTGGGCAATGCATCCACCTATGGCTCTATCATCCCCGCTGCCTGGAGCTTCATGCTTGCCGCTCGCGCACGTGGTTTAGGCACCGCATGGACCACCCTGCACCTCATGCACGAAAAAGAAATCGCTGATCTTCTGGGCATTCCTTTTGACGACTACATGCAGGTGGCGTTGATTCCACTGGCCTATACAAAGGGCACAGAATTCAAACCCGCATATCGGCCGCCACTCGACACCGTCATGCACATAGATCAGTGGTAAAGCGAATTAAGCGCTAAACAGGTTGACCTGACGTTACCGGAGTCTTTACGCTCCCACTGCGTCCACCACGCTTGAGAAAGATGCCTGTAGATCCTAAGAATATTGTCATCGTCGGAAACTCTTCCGACGATCCTTTTGCCATTGATCTGGCATTCAGCATGGGGCAGGCAGAAGACATCGCTGACCTCATCAGCATGAAGATTTTTGCCAACACCGAGTTCTGTCCCCGTTTTATTTCTGATGAAGACGATTTTGACTGCATCGGCAAACGATTGACTGGCAAAACTGTTGTCATCGTCAGCACCTCCAGTCACGTCGTGAGTCGACAGAATCTGGCGATGCGTAATCTGCTTATCTCCAGGGCTGCCAAAGAAAACGGTGCTGAACACGTAATGCTTCTGGAGCCCGACCTGTACTACAGCGCCCAGGATCGTGGCCCCAGTAGAGATCTTGGCCGCACAGTTATTGAGCGTGACGAAAAAGACCTGAAAAAATTCGATGGACAACCATTCACCGCGAAACTCTACGCACAGATGCTGAAACTCGCAGGCGTCGACAGCGTGATGACGGTACACAACCACTCATATTCTGTGCAGAAGATGTTTACAGAGGTGTTTGATGGCTTGTTTTACAACCTCATTCCTTACGAGCTGTACTGCGACTACATCAAAAACTCCAATCTGGTGAACTACGGTCCACAAGGTGAGGGTTTAGCTTTGTGTGCACCAGATGCTGGCGCGCGCGATTTCGTAAAAGAAATGTACATCCGGTTGAACCTGCCGAAAGCAAAATTCATTCTGCTCGACAAAGAACGCTTCGACGAACGCAGGGTGCAGATCAAGCTTCACGACGAAAGCGAATCCACGTTCGAAGAAATCGATGGCCACGATATCGTACTTTTTGACGACATGGTGCGGACCGGCTCTACGGTTGTGAAATCCTGTGAGTTTTTAAAACAGATACACCCAGGCAAAACGGTTTTTGCCGTTTCGCATTTCTACGCCAGTGAAGAAGGCAGAGAAAAAATGGCCAGTAAGGCCATAGACGAAATTCTCACCCTCAACACTTTGCCCACTGTCCTCAATCGAGACGTCCAGGGTCGTCTCCGGCGCAAAATGGTAGTGTTGAAAATTGAACGCTGGCTGGCCAGCAATTTGTGCAAAGTACTGGGTATACCGGTAAATCGTGAAGATGGCCTTTATCAGATTGATATGTCATCTACTAATCCAAGATTCATTCGCAAGATTTACTCCAATGAACAATTAGGTGAACTTCACCAGAAGTAAACATGCAGATCATTACGCAGCGATTAAGGCTGCGCAGACCGCTCGAAGCAGATGCCCAGGCCATTTTCGATAAATATGCCTCTGACCCAGCGGTTACTCGATATCTTAGTTGGCCAACCCACACTACCCTCGCCGACACCATCGCATTTGTTGAATTCTCAGACGCCGAATGGACAGGCCGCGGCACTGGGCCATTACTTATTGAAACTCTGAACGACAAACAGCTCATCGGCAGCACCGGTTTGAGCATGGAGACGTCTTACCGGGCAAGCACCGGCTATGTGTTTGCGCAATCTGCATGGGGATACGGATATGCCAGCGAGGCTCTCGCGGCCATGGTCGAGCTGGCTGGCGACCTGGGTGTGCATCGAATTGAGGCGATCACCCACGTCCAGCATGACATATCGGCCCACGTGCTCATGAAAGGCGGATTTCATAAAGAAGGCATCCTGCGCAAGCATACCTGTTTCCCGAATTTCGAAGACCCATCTCCTCAAGACATCTGTATGTTTGGACGTACGGCCAGCAACGCCGCATGAAACGCTTTCACCGCCGGCGTCTGACTATGGCTGGCTCTGGAGACCGCGACCAGCCGCACAGCAAGCTTCAGATCCAGAGCGGGCACCTCTATCAATCCCTGGTGCTGTGCCTGTTCCGCAAAAGATCGCGGTAGAAAAGTCACCACATCACTGGTTGCCGCCAGATTCAAACAGGCGGTCAAACTGTTCAGTCGATACCGCGCTTTGGGCCCATCGACATGCTGCGCAATAGAGTTAAAGAGCCTGTTTTCATTGTAATAACGACTGGGTATGGCCATAGGAAAACTCAGCAGCTTCGACAGATTACCTTGCCTGCCCGCAACCAGCCCTGGGCGATGTACAAGCACCACCGATTCTTCACCGATGACGCGCATCCGCAACGAGGCGGCGTGGCTTGACTGCAGAAAGTTGGCTTCATCACCAATCGCCACATCACAGGCACCCGCTGCCAGATCTTTATAAACGTCAGCACTGCCGACCACCACCTCAACATCTAACTGCGGATGCGACGCCGCCAGATCCGCAAGCGCCGGACCCACCAGAATTTCTGCGGCCAAGGCAATTACCCCCACCCTGAGTGCCCCCATATCCCCGGTTGCCAGCAGCTGTGCCTCGTCGAGCAGCGCTTTGTGCGCGCTGAGCAGTTCTTCTGCGCGACGAAAAAGAAGACGAGCAGAATCCGTTGGCTCTACTGAACGGGTCGTCCGATTAAACAACACCAGCGCAAGTTGCTGTTCAAGACGTGCAATGCTCTTGGTCATTGCACTCTGGGTAACACCGAGCTCCTCAGCACCATCTTTGAAACTGTTGCGCCTGTAAACCGCGGCAAAGTGCTGAATCGACTTGATATCAGTCATGCTTGGAGCTCACTTATATATTCCTATATAGCAATAGTATTAGTTATTTATATCTCTAACATCATTTCTATAAGACACCCATGGGGAGATGGGCAAAGCCTGAACATGAATAAAGCACTGTTTTACCAAGCGCGCCGTACATTCGACTATCTGTCTGAGGAAGACCGATACTTAAGTGGCAACCCACAACCTGCACTCAAATTTGGCTTTATCGGCTGCGGCATCATGGGCCAGGAACACATCCGCAACACTTTACTGGAAGGACGCGCCGCCATAGCAGGCTTGTACGACCCTTCCTCCCGCAGTGTTGAACACGCACGCAAACTGGTCCCTGCCAGTCAATCTGAAGCATTGCGCATTTACAGCAGTCTGAGTGAAGCCTGCAATGACCCGCATACCGATGCCCTGATCATCGCCACCCCTAATCACACTCATCTGGAAGTCATGCAGGTTGCAGCTCACAGCGGTAAAGTGGTGTTTCTCGAAAAACCCATCGCTACCACCCTGGCAGACGCTCTACAGATCTCGGAATTAGCTCAGAAGCATCAGCTGAATCTGCATATCGGTCTGCAGTACCGCTTCAAAAGTATCTACGCTGAAGCGATTAGCGAAGTGTTAACGCTTCAATCCATCGGGCAGGTTCAACAGGTGAATGTGGCGGAACATCGGTTCCCTTTTCTCGACAAAGTGGGTCAGTGGAACAAGTTCAACCACCTGTCCGGCGGCACGTTGGTAGAAAAATGCTGCCACTACTTCGATCTGATGAACCTGTTTGCCGGCGCGCGACCGCATCAGGTATTTGCAACCGGCCGGCAGTCGGTGAATTTTAAAGAGTTCAGTTATGCCAACGAACAGGCAGATGCCCTGGACCAGGCGAATGTGATCATCGACTACAGCAACGGCGTCAGCGGCAGCTTTTCGCTGTGTATGTTTGTTCCGGGAACCCGTGAAGAACTGGTTGTTTGCGGCGACCGCGGACGTTTACACGTCAGCGAACAGGCGGTTCTGGGCGGAGAGAACGTTAATCACCTTGAGCTTTGGTCAGGCGAACACGGGGTGTCTAAATCATCATCGCCAAGCTACCCCGGCTATATCGAAAAAGCAGGTCATCACGGTTCCACTTTTTTTGAGCACGTGAATTTCGTAAACAACATTCTAGGCCAGCCCAACGCTGGCCCTACATTAGACGATGCCCTGTGGTCCGTTGCCGTGGCGGCAGCAGCTCAACAGTCTATAAACACCAATCTGCCCGTTAGCGTGAAATCGCTGTTCGGTTAGAGCCAGTATCAGAAAGGAAAAACCATGCAGAATCTGATCAATACCCAACCACGCAGTCTCGGCAAAGAGATGCAGATTGGGCCCCTGGGATATGGCTGCTGGCGCCTGGTTGCCATGCGCCCAGCCGACGCCCAGGCACGCATCGAAGCGGCGCTGGCTGCAGGCATGAACCTGATTGATACCGCTGATGTCTATGGCCTGGACTGGGGCGGCAGCGCCTTTGGTCAGGCAGAAGAGCTACTCGGTGACGTTCTGAAATCAGCCCCTCACCTGCGCAGTCAGATGGTGCTGGCTTCAAAGGGCGGCATTATTCCCGGTATCCCCTACGATTCTGCAAATCTGCTGCAGGCGTGTGACGATTCCCTGACCCGCCTTGGCGTTGAACAACTGGATCTGTACCAGATTCATCGACCAGATATGCTGACCCATCCAGCAGAAACAGCCGCGTTGCTCGAACAGTTGAAAAACAGCGGCAAAGTCAGGGAGTTTGGCGTATCCAACCACACCCCCAGTCAGGTTGCGGCTCTGGCTGCACACCTGCCCTTTCCACTGGTCAGCCATCAGCCAGAGTATTCCGCGCTTGCGCTGGCGCCGCTGTTCGACGGGGTATTCGATCAGTGTATGGCCAATAACCTGTGTGTACTGGCATGGAGCCCGCTGGCCGGTGGGCGCCTGGCAACCGCTGAACACTTAAACGACGAACTTGCAGGTGTTATGGGACAAATCTGCGAACGCGAAAATATCGACCTTGCCACGCTGGCGCTGGCTTTTTGTCTGGCCCACCCCAGCAACCCCGTTGCCATTGTCGGCAGCACCACACCCGCACGTATATCAAGCGCGGCCCGGGCGCTGGACGTCACGCTGACCCGCAAAGACGTCTACGACATCATTCAGGCGTCCCGGGGCGTAGCTTTACCATGAGCCTTGAAATCAGCTGGTTTTCCGCCCTGTGCGACGATGACTATCAGTTTCTCGGCGTGCCCGACCCGGCGCTGGAATCTTCCTGGCCACATTGCCGGGACATCACCGTCGCTGCAGACCGTCATGGCTATGACGGCATCCTGCTACCCTCGGGATATCAACTGGGCATCGACTCAGTTGCATTTGCAGGGGGAATTGCACCCCTAACTGAACAGATCCGTCTGCTTGTTGCCGTGCGTTGCGGAGAGATGTGGGTACCCCAGCTGGCGCGGCAACTTGCAACCCTGGACCAGATGTCCGGCGGACGCCTGGCTATCAATATCATTTCATCAGACCTGCCGGGGGCACCAATGGCATCAGTGCCCCGCTATCAGCGCACCCGCGAAACGATGAAGTGTTTGTCCAAACTGCTCAGCGGACAAAGTGTTGAGTTCCAGGGCGAATTCATCAATCTGAACCTTGAAGCACCCAAAGCCCAACCCAACGCCGCCAAATGCCCGCCACTTTATTTTGGTGGCCTGTCAGAACCCGCAAGACAGGTGGCCGCCGAGTGTGCAGACGTTTTTCTGATGTGGCCAGATACCGAAGATGTTGTCGCCGCACTCCTGCAGGACATGGACCAACGCGCCAACACGTTTAAACGTACATTGAAATACGGCTACCGTGCTCACGTCATTGTGCGCGAAACCCAGGGCCAGGCAATGGACGCCGCGCGTTTGCTGGTGTCTAAACTGGACGACGAGCAAGGCTCAGCGATTCGTAACAAATCCCTCGACAGCCAGTCTGCTGGTGTCAATGCGCAATCAGCGCTACGCGAGCGAGCAGACGCAGACGGGTTTGCCGAGGCACATTTATGGACCGGGGTAGGTCGTGCGCGCAGTGGCTGCGGCGCGGCGATTGTGGGAGACCCAGATCAGGTGTTGGCGAAGCTGTTGGCGTATCAGAGGATGGGCATCGAAGCCTTCATCTTATCCGGCTATCCCCACCTTGAAGAATGTGATCTGTTTGCCCGTTACGTTTTACCACGCCTGGACCACAAAAAACTCACCCTCACATAGCTTTGTAACCAGGCGTAAAAGAGTTAATTTATGCGCCATGAAACAGGCGCTCATTTTTTACGCAACACGGGAGGGGCAAACCGAAAAAGTTGCGCTGACGCTCGCTCAACACCTGGTAAATCTGGGTGCTGCCGCAACCACGCACAACCTGCGGGACAACGTCATAACCTTCGACCCACAGCAGGCGGACCTTCTGCTGTTTGGCGCGTCCATGCATGCCGGTGGGCTGGAAAGTGAACTGGTAAAGTTCATCAACGATCATGCATCGATCATCGCCCAGCAACCGCATGCTTTTTTCCTGGTTCTATTAAGTGCCGCCACCGCGGACAGGACGCTACGCGAAAAATCTTTAAAAGATGCTCAAAACAAAGTGCAGCAGCAACTCAGCATTCACTTTGATGACATGGAATACATCGCCGGCGCGCTCACCTATTCGAAATATTCCCGTCCAGTTCGATGGATCATGCAGCGTATTGCGCGACAACATGGCGAAAACACCGACACTCATCGAGATTACGAATACACTGACTGGGCGAAAGTGAAAGCTTACGCCGAGAAACTCAACAACACCTATCTAGCAGCAAATTAACATGGATTTCGAGTGGTTAGCCGTTGGCCTGAACGATCTGGGATGGATATCGCTGGCCTTTATTTTTGGCTATGCCGCTCGGCAGATAAAACTACCGCCGCTGGTCGGCTACCTGGCTGCCGGATTTATACTTCAGGCAGTGGGGTTTGAAAACGGCAGCCTGCTCGAACAGTTTGCCGATCTTGGCATTACCTTACTGCTCTTCACCGTTGGGCTGAAACTCAACTTAAGGACTCTGATCAGACCCCAGGTCTGGGCGGTAACAGCTCTGCACATGGTGTTTGTCGTCGGCGTCCTGGGCATTGTGCTTTACGCACTCTACTTGTTCGGCAGTCCAGCACTTGCGAGCATGGACCTGGCAAAAATTGCACTCATTGCTTTCGCTTTAAGCTTTTCCAGCACCGTATTTGTTGTCAAAGTTCTGGAAGAACGCGGCGAGATGACTTCTCTGCACGGTCGTATTGCGATTGGGATTCTGATCATGCAGGACATTGCAGCCGTGGTATTCATCGCATTGTCTACCGGCCAGATCCCGTCAATTTGGGCCCTTGGTCTATTTCTCCTGATTCCTGCTCGGCATGCCTTATATGCGTTACTGGAGTCCGTTGGTCACGGTGAACTGCTGATTCTCTACGGGCTTATCCTGGCACTTGGCGGTGCAGAAATCTTCGAAATGGTGGGGATGAAAGGAGATCTGGGGGCGCTGGTGCTGGGTGTGATTATTGCCAGCCATTCCAAGTCCGAAGAAATGGCCAAAACCATGTTGGGTTTCAAAGACCTGTTCCTCCTGGGCTTCTTTCTGTCCATTGGTTTGTCAGCAGATCTGACCTGGCAGACGGTTTCCCTGGGCGCAATTCTGGCACCATTGGTCATACTTAAATCTGCAGCGTTTTTTGCACTGCTTACCGCCTTTAAACTGCGCGCTCGAACAGCCCTACTGTCTTCTCTTAACCTTACAAATTACAGTGAATTTGGTCTCATCGTGGCAGCGATCGGCGTGGAACGCGGTTGGTTATCCGGTGATTGGTTAATTGTCCTTTCCGTGGCATTGACCCTATCCTTTGTCATTGCAGCTTTGTTGAATGCCAATACCTACCAGATATACGCACCTTATCGAGCGTTCTGGCAGCGCTGGCAATCGGCGCAGCGCCTCGAAGATGACCGGATCCTCGACACCGGATCCGCGCGAATTGCGATCATCGGCATGGGTGGTATTGGTTCTGGCGCTTACGATGCCCTGCGTGAATCTGCAGGACCGGACATAGTCGGTATTGATATTGATCCTGACACCGTCGCGAACCAGCAACACATAGGGCGTAATGTATTATTAGGAGACCCAAGCGACGCGGACTTCTGGGACCGTGTGCAGGTTTCTCACAAACTCGAATTGGTGATGTTGGCCATGCCCGCACTGTCTACTAACCTGGCTGTGCTCGAGCGGTTACAGGCGGTTTCTTTCACAGGCCAGGTTGCAGCGACCGCCAAATTTCCGGATGAGGTCGAGATTTTAGAAGAAGCGGGTGCCAATATCGTTTTCAACGTATACAACGAAGCCGGCGTTGGCTACGCCAGCCACGTGGTTAATCAGGAGTAAGGCCAGAACATCAAACAAACTCGACTTCCTGAGGTTTCTTCATAAAGATCACCGCCAGTAGTATCAATGACACCGGGTATAAAAACCGGAAGTAATAGAGAGGAACACAGTCGCGCCCATCATCAATGTCAGAATGACATCAGTGCGACGGTACGCATGGTGGTCCTGCAGAATCAGTTGCAGGCCCAGATAAACAACAAACTGCCCTACACCTAACAGCAGAAACAAGATGTCCAATACGCCGAATTCGAGCCAGCGTTCGCCCGTTGAGGCCATTATCCCAAATTCAGTCAGCCAATAAACGGGGAAACAAAACCGCTACTGCGAGGGCCACTACCCCCGGAATCAGATAATCATGTTTGGTCATAATCTATTCCGTAAAATCTACTTGCTGATGTGACCATCGACCGGAGCCTCAAATTCAAGCTGATCGCCAGGCTGACAGTTCAACTCACGGCATATCGATGCCAGTGTGTTAAAACGAATACCCTTAACTTTGCCCTTCTTCAACAACGACAGCTCAGTCAGGGAAATTTTGTTCCGCGCCATCAGCACATCAAGGTTCACACGTATGTTCATGTCGACAATATAGTTGTTAAACAAGACTCAGGGTTGAAACACGCAACGTAGAAGAAGCTGCGTCACGGCCTGTAGGAGCGGATGTCATATCCAGGTAAAAACCGCCTCCCCGTGTTGCAGAGCGCCCGCCGATTTTGCGTTAATACTGGAAATAATTGAAAGGCCTTCCTATGAAAGCAACATCCTTCTTTCTATCAGCAGCGCTTATTACCTTGGCGACCAGTGTCTCAATACCTGCATTGGCTGTTCAGAATCAGCAAGACACCAAGGAAACCACGAAACAGGCAGGCAAAGATACTCAGAAGTACCAACGTGATGCAAAGAAGCAGACCTACGACGCAACCAAGAAGAAAGACAAAGCACAGAAGCAATACAAAAAGTCGTCACAGAAAAACATGAACGCCAGCTCAAAAAACGGCGATAAACAGCACGCTGCAAAAACAGCGACGTCGAAATCACACGACAAAGAAAACCAGCTGCGCAAAGAGCAAAGCAAAGCCATCAAGAACGACTATCGCGCTGAGCGTAAGCCGGGAGACGAAGGCAGAAAAAGTGAATCTCAAGGTGAGAAAAAACCCTGGTGGAAATTCTGGCAGCGCAGCAATTCTGCGGATAAAAACTAAAAAAAATCGCCTGCCAAACTGCAGCTGACCCGTTCCTTGACCAGGCCTTCATGCAATAATAGGCCCGCTCGCCGGTAACGATTCATCACGCATTCGGACGCGGCATTCAAAACGGCCAAAGTTCGAACATGTCGCATCAGGATCTAACCCAAGGCTCAGTGCCGGTTTCACTGGCCAGATTAACGGCCCCCATGGTTATGGGGGTTTCCTCGAGTATTCTTGTGCAGACCCTGGAACTGGGCTTCATCGGCCAGCTCGGCACTCAATACATTGCAGCGGTCACTTTCACATTTCCTCTGGCGATGGTACTCACCAGTATCGCCCTGGGTATCAGTATTGGCACATCGTCAGTAATCGCCCGCAGCGTGGGTAGTGGTGTTGGCGAAGACGTGCGGCAACTGGGCACCCACAGCCTGTTACTGGTTGGCGTGCTGATGATAGTGCTGTCTTTCATCGCCTGGTTATCGATTGATCCTCTGTTCAGCATGCTGGGTGCCAGCGACGAAGTGATGATATTGATTCACAGCTATCTGGATATCTATCTCCCCGGAACGGTGCTGTTCACGTTAAGCATGATTGCCGGCAGCATCATGCGAGCCAACGGCAGCGCCAATATCCCAGGCACGGTGATGACAGTAGGCGCGTTTCTGAATTTGGCGATCGATCCTATCCTGATTTTTGGCTTGTTTGGCTTTCCGCGAATGGAGCTGGCAGGCGCCGCCACTGCGATGACTATTGCCCGGGGGCTGACTACCGCAGCCTTGTTTTACTATGTATTCAAAGGCGACATGATTCAGATCAAATCTGTCTTTCGCGGCTTTGTTGCCTCTTCCAAGCGCATCATGCACATCGGCCTGCCGGCTATGGCCACACAACTGATTGGCCCGGTTACCGCTGCCATGATTACCGGCATGCTGGCAAAGCACGGAGAAACAGTGGTTGCTGGTTTTGGCGTGGCTGGTCGTATAGAAGCCGTCGCCGCCATGCTGCTGTTCGCCTTATCTGGTTCTATCGGCCCGTTTGTTGGCCAGAACTGGGGCGCCCGCCGATTTGGCAGAGTGCGTGATGGGGTTAAAGCCAGCTACCAGTTCTCTATCGCCTGGGGGTTTATTGCTGCGCTCCTGCTGTTCCTGTTCGGCGCAACCATCGCCTCGTGGATTGATGACGCCCCTTCCGTTGTCAGTGTTGCCGCATTTTATCTCGCCCTTGTGCCCTGGGGTTATGGCATGTGGGGGGTTCTGATGATGGCCAGTGCAAGCTTCAATGCCCTGGGCAAACCTTTACCCAGCACCGCGTTGAGTTTCCTGCGCATGTTTGTGGTGTACCTGCCACTGGCCATTATGTTGAACACAGCCTACGGCTATCAGGGTATTTTTGTAGCCACCCTGATCAGCAATGTTGTACTGGGCATCGCAGGGTGGTTATGGTTTAGAGTACGTCTTGTGAAAATGAGTAAGACAGCCTGAATGTTGATCCGCCGGCTAATCAGCCTGACGCTGCTGTACGCGTTTGCCTTTACGTTGTATGCAATAGCACCAGTGTTGATTGTTCTCGCCCTGGCGCTTTCTCTGACAAAACAGTTTCGAACCCTACCTCACGCCCTGCTGTTTGCGTTGGGGTTCCTGTTTTACGAATGTAGTGGCGTTCTGAGGCTGTTCTGGCTGTGGTGCCGATATCGGCACAGCCCTGAATTTCTGCCGCGTAATCAACAGGTCCAGTACTGGTGGGCCAACGGATTGCTGCAGTTAGGCATTCGTATTTACGATCTGAAAATTACAGTGAGCGGCAAGGACGCGCTCGAAGGACCCAGTGCGTTGATGATTGTTCGGCACACCAGCATCGCGGACACGGTTTTACCAATGCTGTATTTCGCGAAAGTTCGCAATGAAGGCATGCGTTATATTCTGAAAAAAGAACTTACCGCCATGCCGTGCCTGGACATCGCTGGTCACCGCCTACCTAATTTGTTTGTTGATCGCTCCGGCACAGATACCGACAGAGAACTAAGCGCAATCAAAGCATTGACTGCTACCGCGGGCCCTGAGGAATCAGTTCTGCTTTACCCTGAAGGCACGCGTTTCACCTTACAGAAACAAGCTCGTTTACTGGCATCGAAACCGGAACTTGCAGAACAACTGCGCCGTTGGCCCAGCTTACTACCGCCACGCCTCGGTGGCGTGTCAGCCATGCTGGAAGCCAATCCGGGCAAAGATGTGGTGTTCCTGGCTCACGTCGGATTTGAGGGCTCAGCGTCTCTAAGTGACCTGGTCAACGGCAGCTGGCGACGCCAGCCGATCTATCTGCATTTCTGGCGCGTACCTTACCGGGACATTCCCACCGACACTCAAGCTTTCATCTTTCACAATTGGGACATAATGCAGCAACACATCGACGCCATGACTCACATAGAGCCCTAAAAGGGCCTGCTTAACATGCAACAGCAAACCAAATACCCAAAAATGCATTTGACCGCGATGCTGACCTCAGATATCTTCAGGTCAGAACACTCCGGGAGAGGGGAGTGCTTCCTTAACCGGAAGTAAAGAAAAGGCCACCTAACGGTGGCCTTTTTTTGTTCAAAAAAGAGCGGTCTGAAACTACCGCCACTTTGCGCTCATTTAACATCCAACCAGTACCCACCGCCCTGCAAGTGCTTCACGTGTCCTGCTGTAGGCGTGGCGAAATGCGTGCCTATGATCAGAACATCCTGATCTACATATTTTTCCAGCAGCTTTTCTCGCGTTTGCTGGCCTGCATTCTGATCGTAGTCAGCAGAACTGCACCAGTCCGTACGCGACATCTGCACGGGATGATGAATACAGTCTCCGGTAATCAACGCTTCAGCGCCATTCGAACTGATATGCACGCTCACATGGCCCGGTGTATGTCCCGGCGTAGGTTCCAGTTGAACTTCAGGGCAAATCTGAAAGGTTTCACTGACAAGATCTACGACGCCGGCATCAACAACGGGCCGCACTGAATCCGCGAGTATCGGTCCATAAGTATCTTCATCTTCGTTAGCGTCCCAATAGCGCCATTCTTCCTCAGCAATCAGATACCTGGCATTGGGAAAGGTTGGTATCCATAGCCCATCTACTAGCATGGTATTCCAACCGACATGATCGACGTGCAGATGCGTGCACATCACGGTATCTATCGACTCACGCGGATAACCTGCTTCTGCCAGATCATCCAGAAAACGAGTCTGCAGGTTGCTCCATGCGGGTACGTTGCGCTGTTTGTCGTTACCTATACAGGTGTCCACGATGATCCGTCGGCTGCCGGTATCCACTATGAGCGCATGTATGCTCATGATCAGGTTGCCTTCCTCATCCATAAAATGCGGCTGCATCCAATCATGTTCCAGGCTCGCATCACGGGTCGCATCAGGCAGGATGAATTTAGTCCCTCCGGCAACTTCCATCTCAACTACCCGCGTGATTTTCACATCACCAATCTGCCATTGATTCATTTTGTTATCCCCTCTTTATCTTGAATACAGCATTGCCCAGCAATGCCTGAACTCTATCACAGCCCCCGACGGACACGGTAAAACCGACCTTTTGCATCGAACATACCACACCGTGAACTGTGGCAGGACGCATGTCGGTCTAGTATGGTTCACTCAGAAGAATAACTATGAGAATGTCATGGGCATCGTAGACGTCGTTTCCACCCTCACCCAGGTTCCCAGCCTGCTCAAACTTAAAAAAGGCCTTGTACCGCGACCGGCGGATACCGTCGACTGTTACGGTGCACGTGTGCAGGCAAATGCTGAGCGATTCCCAGATCGCAACGCCATTGTTTTCGAAGGTAAAGAAATCAACTGGCGTGATTTCAATGCTCTGGCTAACCAATACGCCAACTACTTCAAAGCCGAAGGATTACAGCGCGGCGATTGTGTCAGCGTCATGATGGAAAATCGCATCGAGTACCTGGCCTTGCTTATCGGCCTTAACAAAATCGGTGTTACGGCTGGCTTGATCAACACCAACCTGCACGGCCGACCACTAAGTCATTGTGTTAGCGTCACGCATTCGAAGAAATGCGTATTTGGCAGCGAAGTGAGCGAAGCAATCAGCGAAATCAGCAGCGAGCTGGATCTTGATGAAGGCGAAGATTTTTACGTAGTCCCCGATGGCGACAATCTTAATGGCTGTAATTGGGCAAAAAATTTATCTGAACAAGCAGCCTCTGTCGCGGCAGACAACCCACCAGACACGCAAAGCACAACGCTTGGGGAAACCTGCTTATACATTTTCACATCTGGCACTACCGGCCTGCCCAAGGCTGCCGTTTTATCCAACCGACGGTATCTCACTGCCGCAGACTTATCTGCCCAGGCTGGATTAAAGATCACGGAGAAAGATCGCCTGTATATCTGCCTGCCGCTCTATCATGCCACCGGCTTGTTGCTTGGCGTGGGCTCAGCGTTTGCTTCCGGCGCCAGCATGTTCATCCGTCGAAAGTTTTCCGCCAGCAACTTCATACCAGAAGTTCGCGACAACAATTGTACGGCCTTTATCTACATCGGTGAGTTGTGTCGCTACCTGACAAACTCAGAAGCAAAACCCGACGATCATAAAAACCCAATCAGGGTCATGATGGGCAATGGTCTACGGCCAGATATTTGGATGTCGTTTAAAAAACGCTATGGCATTAATCGCATCACAGAATTCTACGGCGCATCAGAGGGCAATGTATCGTTTGCCAACCTGTTAAACAAAAACTGTACGGTTGGCTTCACCTCAGTAGAAGTCACGTTGGTCAAATACGACGTGCATGATGATGAAATTGTGCGTGACAGCAACGGCTTCTGTATCCCCGTTCCGGACGGCGAGCCGGGCCTGATGCTGGGCAAAATAACTGAAGATACAATTTTTGAGGGATACACCGACCCTGAAGCCACCGAGAAAAAGATCATTCGGGATGCACTGGAAAAGGGTGACGCCTGGTTTAATTCAGGTGACCTCATGCGTGTTGTCGACGTAGGCTTCACCCTCGGCTACAACCATTATCAGTTCGTCGACAGAGTTGGGGACACATTCCGCTGGAGGAGCGAAAATGTCTCAACCAACGAAGTAGGAGAGATCATCAACGGGTTTGAGCAGGTCAAATTCTGCAACGTTTATGGTGTAGAGGTTCCTGGGGCTGAAGGGCGCGCAGGTATGGCTGCCATAACCCTGGCTGACGGTGTAGACCACCTGGACCTCGACGCTTTCTCAAAGTACGTAAAACAGGAACTACCCGCCTACGCAGTTCCGGTTTTTCTGCGTATTCAGCCTGAAATTGAGGTGACCGGTACATTCAAAATGGTCAAAGGTGATCTGCGTGAAGAAGCGTACAACATCGACCAGATCTCCGACCCGGTTTTTGTCATGGCAAGCGGCCGCGATAACTACCAGTTGCTTGATGACGTGATGCTGGCGTCAATTCGCGCAGGCGACGCAGGTTACTAAAACCCTGTGCCACTTCAGGGCTCTCGGGCAAAAAAGAGGGTTCGCTACAGCGTAGGGACGGGAGGGAGCTAATTCCCGAAAGGGAGCGAGCTGCTGTAGCGAACCTGATGAACAAAGCCGGTACTGCTGGGTCCGGCTTTTCATCACGATGCCTAATATAGTTGCCCCAAATGAACACAAACTGAACACCGGCCATCACTTATGACAAAAGCAGTTCTCCTGGATCTTGGCAACGTCGTGTTGGGGGTCGATTTCAGGCGTGTTTTCCGTGCCTGGGCGGCTGCGGCCCAGGTATCCGAACAGGTGTTCTACGATCGCTGGCAGATCGACGAGGCCTATGCTGATCACGAGACAGGAAAGATTGGCTTTGACGAATACGCGGACAGGCTGGCTGAGAGATTTGAGGTGAACTTGAGCCGCGAACAGTGGCGCGAGGGATGGAACAGCTTGTGGACCGAGCCTTTTCACAGCGTCATTGAACTTTTACCCGCCATCGCCAGCCGCTACGACCTGTATGCGTTCACCAACACAAACGATACCCATGCCCAATGCTGGCGCGCTTTGTACGGATCGGCGCTGACACCTTTTGAGCACATTTTTGTTTCTTCAGAAATCGGCGTGCGCAAACCTCATGTTGATGCGTTTCACTACGTCTGCAGTGCTGCAGGTTCTGAAGCCGAGCATACCCTGTTTCTGGATGACACCCTGGAGAACGTCAAGGGTGCTTTAGATGCTGGCCTGCAGGCGCATCATGTTGCCAGCGAAAACGATGTCGCTGGCCACTTACAGCGCCTGCTAGATCACTAGATAGATCGTTCGCAGCAACAACGCTAACAACACGAAACTGCCTAGAGCAAATACACCGAATCGGACGATGATGACATTGCCGGTAGCCTGCACAAGGGAGTGAACGACCCTGATGCCCACGTAGCTCCAGGCCAGAATCACTTGCACCGAGTCAACAGCACCCAACATAGCGGCGCATAAAGCCAGCGCATAAAACAGCGTTGGTTGTTCGTGTAAGTGGTTATAGTTGTCCGCCACCCGGGCAACTTCGGGTGGCAGTGTCAGTGGGGCGCCGGTTCGAGATAGCTCTTCCACATCTATTTGAGCTTTCTGCATCGCAGGAATTCTCGTTGCATACATCCAGAACCACATCACAAACGTCCAGGAAACAAGCCCGAGGACGGGATAAAGAAGAGCAGCTTGGGACATTTTTGAACTCCTTCAATTAGCTTGGCTTGGCAGGCTTATCCTGCAGATCTAAGGCTTAAGGAAATTTTCGTTCAATATCCGCACTTCACGCTGGGGATAAGGAATTTCCATGCCGTTCTCCTGGATAGAGCGCCAGATCGCGTGCAACAAATCTGCACCTACACGATTAGGTCCGTCGTCTACACCTTCCATCCAGAATTCAACCAGAATATCGATACCGTTATCACCAAACCCGGCGATTTCAGCATCAGGCCGCTCTTCGATCGGCAGATCATCACCGCTGATTACCTTCGGGTGTTCTGCGCAGAGTTGACGAATGTTTTCAAACAGGAGGTCGAGATCTGTGGAATACGCCACCTGAAACTCCAGCGGGTAACGTTGCTTGATGTTCTTATGTGTCCAGTTGGTATAAGACGTCGTTATGAACTGTTCGTTAGGGACCACAATATCTTTGCCATCATAGGTCTCCAGAACGCCGAACCTCATGTTCAACTCCCGCAGGGTGCCACTGCGGCCATCTTCAAGCTCGACGTGATCACCAATTGCGATGGAACGATCGAGCAGAATGATGATGCCTGATACAAAGTTGGAGGCGATCTGCTGCAGGCCAAAGCCCAGACCGACACCAAGCGCGCCGCCAAACACAGCAAGTGCAGTCAGATTGATGCCCATGATCTGCAGCAGCAAAAGGAAAATCACAACGAAGAGCGCGATTTCAAACAACTTGGCAAACACTTCTCGTGTGCCGATGTCCATAGACTCCCGACTACGGATCGCCTGTTTGCCTGCGGTATTGGAAATTCTTCCCAACCAGAACAGCACCGCGCCAAAAATAAGCGTGCGAATCAGTGCGTAGGCTGAGATTCGAATATCTCCAGCGGTCAGCGATATACCGTCGAGAAATGCAGTGACGTCATCAAGCAAGCCAAAGACATGCAGCGTCGCAATCGGCATGCCCAACCAGGTTAACAGTGTTTTTACACCGCGGTTGCGTACAAACTTCGACGCAACGGTGTAGATAAGAAAAATGACAGCCGCGCTTTGTGCCAGACGTATTAACCATGCCTGTTGCCAGATCGAGTCGCCCAGTGTGATCGCTATTTCCAGAAAAAAGATGTTCAGCAGCGGAAAAACAAATACCCGCAACCGATAGAAAAATGAGGTGACGCCTGAAAATCGATTGCCCACGGGCTCCCTGGTAAAAATGGGGACAGATCTGCGAATGACGGCTGCCAAGAGAAAAGCCAGCAGCACCGCGCACCCTATCGCGCCTATCTGGGCATAAAACTGTGGGCTTGTCGCCCAATTCGCAGTTGCCTGCCAAGCCTCGTCCATAAAATCGACGAGCGCCGCGCTATCGAATTCCATCAGAATACTCCTCAGACATGTGTTATCTCTTCAATGAACGCAAGCGTTTGTAGCGCATCCTGCCGTTTACTGCCGCAGATTTCGAGCTCGGGTTTAAATTCAGCACAAACCAGCGGCCGTCGAGGATCATTCCACAGACCACAGGCAAAATGCTCGTCAAGATGAGGACAGGGCATCCCCGCAGGCTTGCCATAAGGCAGGCCCGGTAAAGGGGATGAGATGGAAGGTGCAATACAACACGCACCACAGCCTGAACGGCAGTCCAAAATCGCTACGCTTCAGCTGTTGAACTGATGTGCGATTGCAGCGTACTGTTCCACCAACGGCAGTACCGTATCGGCATCTGCAGGCGGTAAGCCGAAAATGACGCGGTTAAAACCATCTTCAATCAGACCTTCAATGGCCGCGACATCGGGGCCTACGCCAAAAATACTGAAATCTGGTTCACCACTTCGTTTTGCCTCTGACCACGCTGCCCTGGTCTGCTCTATGCCCGCCTTGTAGTCCACGGCACCACTGGCGGAAGCTCGCGCAGGATTCTGATAGATCGGGAACCAGCCATGACCATATTCAGCAATGCGTTTATACACATACTTGGTTGAGGCACCCAGTAAAATGGGCGGCCCACCCGCCTGCACAGGCTTGGGATACGACCAGAGCTTTTCAAAATCAACAAATTTGCCGTGAAACTCAGCTTCTTCCTGAGTCCAGATCTGCTGCATGGCCAGAACTCTTTCGCGCAGTATTTTCCAGCGATCGGAGAACTCGGTACCGTGATTGGCCATCTCCTCCGCGTTCCATCCTGCTCCAACGCCAAGCAACAGGCGTCCGTTGCTGAGATGATCCAGTGAGGCCGCCTGTTTGGCCATCAGAATCGGATCCCGCTCGGTGACCAGGGCAATACCGGTACCTACCTTCAAGTTGTGTGTGACGCTTGCTGCTGCGCTCAGAGCGACAAAAGGGTCGTGGGTGTGCCAATACTCTTTTGGCAGCTCTGCGCCGCCAGGCCACGGAGAGCGCCGACTGGTTGGTATGTGGGTGTGCTCAGGGAAAAAAAGTGACTCAAAGCCAAATGCTTCTGCTTCCCGAGCCAGCGTATCAGGGCGAACGGCGTAGTCCGCCGGAAACATCAACAAACCAAACTGTGTCATCACATGCCCCTCAAATTTGCTTTTAACGTATCACGATAGTGCTGATAAGCAGGCAGCTGATCATCAAGGAGGAATTCAGCCATAGCACTATCCATCTTTTTCAGAAGTGCATTGCTTTTACTTTTGATCTTGCGTTTGAGGTTGGTCTGATTATTTTTTCGAATCAGACGATTAACTGCACTCGGAGCGAAAAACAGCGCCCGAACGAACTTTTGCATGTTCTATCCCCAAACCCTTTAGACCCAAGTTTAACGCGGCTGGCAATAAAATGACGAGACGCTCAGGAAAAAGAAAAAGAAGAGAACTTACAGTGCGGGATTAACGTCGGCGCCGGGGGCTTCGAGCGTGGTCAGATATCTATCAATTTTCTGCACGTAACGGGAAGCCGCCTCATTGCGATGATCACGAGCGTAAGGCCCCACGTTGTAAGCAGCCAACGCGCAGTTCATGTCTCCGTCGCAACGATCGAGCATATGAGAGAGGATCTGCGCGCCACAGTAAACATTCTGTTCGGGGTCGTGAAGCTGGCCACGAGCACCGCAGAATTCACCCCAGTATTCAGGTCTGACCTGAGCAGGACCAATGGCACCTACATGGGATTGCGCAGTTTTGCGAAAGGAGCTTTCTGTAACAACAAGGCTTGCCAACAGTTCAGGCTTGATGCCCTGCCGCTCTGAAGCCTCAAGGATCCAATCAGCAAACTCGTTAGCAACGCTGTCCTGAATGCCAAAAGCATCACTCACGCGATTGCCGAAATGAGCCACTTCGTTCTGTCTGATTAACCGGCTGGTTGCAGCTGGTGTAGCAAACGCAATGCGCTCATAGCCTTGATGAGCAATCACATTGCCCACTGAAAAACTGATGATTCCAAGAACAACAACGGTGCCGGCAAAACCCGCCAATGACAAATAAACTGCTTTTGGTAATTTTATACAGGCCTGGCCCAACGCTGTATTCGCAACCGCACGCTTAAAAGTGTGCAATCGCTTTGCGACGGTTACTGCATCGAATTGTTCTGAACGCTTTAGCGTCATGAATAGATCCCTTGCATTCCCTATCCCGTGCTTGCGTGCCTGCGGGCCTTTCGTGCGGCGTTGGTGTCTTTGCACCGGGACATCTTGATCAAATGTGATCCGTGTCCACTTCAGCCTTGTCGTGCGGCGCGTATTCTATATGGCACACGTCACACTATGAACCTCATTTTAGCTGTTAATGGGCTGTTTACAGGTGAGTGGCTTGTAAGCGCCTTTTAAGTTAGTGGCTACTTACGTAGGAGCACCATCATAAAGGACTTCAGGAGGTGGCAGACGGTCTCGAACCGACTGCCCTTATGAAAAATTAGTATAAAAGCGGGACAGATATTCCCGCCTGTATGCTAACCCGCGCGCAACGCCTGAATAATGCCTGCGCGCTGCTCTTCATCAGACACGGGGAAAGACGCGCTGGTTCGGTCAACAAAACTGCCATAACGAGACAGCATTTGCGGCGCGATATCTTTCGGTTCACCTACCACGCCAAATTCGTTAAGCATGTCGTCAGTAATCAGGGTGCCCATTTCTTTCCAACGACCCTGTTTAGACATTGCGTTCAGCTCACCCTGAAGTTCACCACAACCAATAGACTCCAGCACGCCTTTATAAGCGGGTGTAGAACCGTAAAAGGCAATACGCTCCTGCGCTGCTTTTTTGCTTGCCGCAAATTCAGCCTCATCTCTACCGGTGACAACAAAACAGGAATAGGACAACTCAAATCCGTCGCGAGTTTTACCTGCCTTGGCAAGCCCTGCTTCAATGGCAGGCATAGTAACGGATTTTATATAAGGCATTGTGCTGAATGGGTGAATGATCATGCCGTCCGCCACCTCACCCGCAACCTCAGTCATTTTTGGACCAACCGCAGCCAGAATGACACGCGGCGCGCCATAGTTCTTATCTTCCGGCGTAAACGCAGGTGTCATAAGGGTATGCTGATAGTACTTACCTACAAACTCTAACGGATCACCTTCGTACCAGTTGGACCAGATGGCTCGCATGGCCAGCACCAACTCACGCATTTGTGCTGCGGGTGCACCCCACTGCATGGAAAAACGTTTGGTGATGTGTGGCTTGATCTGCGAACCCAAACCCAGGGTAAAGCGACCTTTTGAGTAGGCATTCAGATCATGGCCAATATTGGCCAGGTTCATCGGGCTACGCGCAAACGCAACAGCGATAGACGTTGCCAACTCGAGCTTGTTGCTGTGTTCAGCCGCAAGTAACAGCGGGAAGAAGGGATCGTGGTTCATCTCCGCTGTGCGCACGCCGTCGTAACCTGCCGCCTCCATCTTTCTCACCGTATCAGGGATCTTGTCCAACTGATTACCAATACCTGCATCTACTTTCATCTCTACTCCCCTTTAGACAACCTGAAACTAAGCCGACAGCTCAGCAATAATTTTAACCCGATCGGACTTAGGAATGTTGGCATACGCAGCCGAGGTGCGATCAATGAGGTCGCCATAACGACCCTTGATCTGCCCGGCAATCGTATCGGGCTCGCCAATCACGGCAAACTCCTTCAGGATGTCTGGCGTAATCAGTTCACCCATCTCGTCCCAACGACCCTGTTTAGACATCATATTCAACTCGCCCTGCAGCTCTCCCGCATTGATGCTGTCAAGCACAGGTTTGTAGGCTGGTGTAGACCCATAAAAAGCGATCTGCTTACAGGTGGCCAATTGTGCCGCCGCCAATTCTTCTTCAGTTTTGCCTGTCACAACAAATACCGGATAGCTGATTTCAAAGTCTTCACGTTTTTTACCCGACTTGGCAAACCCTCGTTCTAACGCTGGCAACGTTGTTTCGCGCAAATATTTTTCGGTTGTGAAAGCGTGCACAATCATGCCGTCGGCTACTTCGCCAGCCACTTCAGTCATCATCGGGCCCACTGCCGCCAGAAAGACCTTAGGCGCGCCGTAACTGACATCTGTTGGGGTGAACATCGGTGTCATCAGTGTATGCGTATAAAACTTACCGGTGAACTCCAGTGGCGTGCCTTCATGCCACTTGGCCCAGATGGCGCGCATGGCCAGTATATATTCACGCATTCGTGCCGCTGGGCTGGACCAGGGCATGCTGAAGCGTTTGGTAATGTGCGGTTTGATCTGGGAGCCCAGCCCCAGGACAAAGCGACCTTTTGAAAAGGCGTTCAGGTCATGCCCGATGTTAGCCATGATCATGGGTGTCCGTGCAAACGCAACAGCAATCGATGTGATCAGCTCAACTTTCTCGGTATTCTGCGCAGCCACCAACAATGGGAAAAACGGGTCATGGGAGGTTTCCGCAGTCATAATGCCTGCATAACCCATCTCTTCCAGTTCCTGCGCCTGTGCGCCTACTGTGTCGAGCTCAAATCCAACACCACCATCTACTTTCATATGTCCCCCGATTGCCTTCATTGCTGGTGAGATTGCCCTCACCTGCCTCACTGATTACTGGGATAAGTTTCCAATCCTGGATCTGTCCGCAACAGACCGGAGATCGGCTCACTGTTTCCCATAAAATGATGAGTTTCTATGTCCTGAGCTGTGAAGGTCAAGCGATAGACCAAATCATTTGGATGCCGGGTGCGCGTGCATTCGATTTCAGACAGGCCAAGATAGAATTTTAAAATCACTTTAGACATCACCCCATGAGTGATCAATGCCACGTTCTCCCATTCGCTATCAAATAGTTCGTCGAGAAAACTGTGGGCACGCAGCAGCATATCCTGCAACGATTCACCCTGGGGCGGTGTAAACCAATAGGGATCTTCCTGTCGGCTCGCCCATGCCTGAGGATGGTGCTCTTGAATCTCTGCAAGGGTCAAACCTGACCAGTCGCCACAGTCACGTTCGAGCAGCGCATCAGCGAAATCAAGCGTTGCCTGGGTATAAGAGTTAATCAGAAATGCGGTCTCGGTGGTGCGTCCGGCCGGGGATACCCATAACTGCTCAACACCCCCAAGTGTTTTTATCAAGGCGCCATTTGCACTGGCCTGCTGGCGACCTGCTTCAGTCAACGGCGAATCCAGACGCCCCTGCATCCGGTTTTCCACGTTCCACTCAGTTTGCCCATGGCGCACAATGTAAACTGTTTTCAAACCCACTCTCGCAAAACGGCAACACGCCGCGAAGGGCCAAAGGATATCACCCTGCAGCGCTTAAACTTAGTCTCTTCAACTCAATCTACGCTGCCGGGTAAATAACAAGAGGAGCATCGCCAGTAAAAAAGGCACGCCTCGCTCCCACAGATCACCTGGACCATTTGGCAAACTGTAAAACACAACAGTAAGCCCAAAGCCGATCAAGATGGCTGTTGGAATACTCCACGGCTGATTGTGCCAGCCAAGCAAACGCGCGATAACAGGTGGTCCAAAACCGGCACCTAACGCATTCCAGGCGAACAACACGCGCGAGAAAATCGAATCCGGCAGCATCCAGGCGAGCAACACCGCAGCAATAGCCACCGCCAGCACCGCGATACGGGAGGAATAGCGGGACGTCTGTCCAGGCTGACGCCCGGCTTTACGCAAATCGTTATCGACCGCTGCGCCAGCAACCAGAAGTTGGCTGTCTGCGGTGGACATAATGGCAGACAGCACTGCAGCAACCAGCACACCGGTAACAACCGTTGGCAGCAGTTGATCAGCGACCTGAAAGAAGACCTGCTCGGCTACCTGCGGCCCTACCAGCAACACATGGGCGCACAAGCCGAGTACAAACATGCCGCTCAACACAAGCACAAACCAGGTCAGCGCTACCGCCCTTGCCAGTTTGATATCCTGTTTGCGTGCCATCGCCATGACGCGATTCAACAGGTGTGGCTGACCCAGAGGGCCGAAGCCAATGCTCAACATCCCCAGCATAAAGCCTATTGCGAACCAACCCTCGTGGCCACCCGACCAGATCCAGAAACCGCCACCTTGGGCACCAGCCGCCTTTTCAAGGCCATCGAATCCACCCACAGTCAGCCAGGCAGCAATTGGCAAAACAAGCGCCGCCACCAGCATGAGCGCCGCCTGCAAAGCATCGGTGATACTGACCGCCCAGAACCCACCCCACAACGTATAAACCAGCACCACGCCAGCACCGAGGAGCAGTGCTGTTAAAAAATCGACATCGAATACGGCAGTGAATGTATTGGCAGCACCTTGGAATTGCGCGGCGATATAGAACGTGAAAGAAAACAGGATGACTATGGCGCTGAGTCGATAAGTGAGCGACGCATATTTCTGCGGCAGCTGATGCGCCAGCATGTCGGTTAAGGTAATCCAGCGGTGCTGGTGACTTAACGTTTGCAGCCGGGGTGCAATCCAGAACCAGACGACGAGGTGCCCGGTAAGAGTGCCAGGCAACAGCCAGAACGCACTCAAACCCTGACTGAAAGCAATACCGCTTACGCCCAGGATAGACCAGGCGGAAGAGCTACCCGCAGCGTAACTTAACGCCGTAACCCACGGGCCCAGCGTGCGCCCACCAATGAAATAGCCTTCAGCCGTCTGCGCGCGACTGCGCGCCCAGTAACCTAAGCCAAGCAGCAGGCCCTGGTATATGGCCAGCGTAACCAGGACCGCCACTGAGGGCTGCACCTAAGTGCTGTCTTTTTTCGATGTGCGGTAATCGCCGTAAGCTTCGTCGCGTTTTGATAACGCCTTATTCAACCCTTCCCGTAACTCAGCAAGGTGAGCCTGGGTGGTAGCGGTATACGTGGCCAGCTGCTGCATTTCTGTACCGGCACGCAACGCTGCACGAATGCCCATCGCGTCCATCTGTCGGTGTACCGCGCGCTTGTTTATCTGTTGCAGATCTGAAGGTGTCATCGCCACCCGTTCGGCTACTTTCAGAACTTCTGCTTCGAGATCGTCCTCAGTGAATGCCCGATTGGCAAAGCCACTTTCCACCGCCTCAAGACCCGTCATGTGATCACCTGTCAGCATCAGCTCCATGGCCCTGCGCAAACCGACAATCCAGGGATAGAACTGATTGTCTGGCGGGCTGATCGAACGCACCACCGGGTAGCCGATCATGGCGTCTTCGGCGACGTAAACAAGATCGCATGCCGTTGCCAGTTCGGTACCCCCGGCCAGACAATACCCGTGCACCTGAGCGATGATGGGTTTTGCCATATCCCACATACGGAAAAAACCCTCAACAACATGCCGTGGCCAGTTTCCCAGACCACCCGGCGTGTAAAAGGGCTGGTCCTTTGCCACGTTGGATGACAGGTCGTAACCTGCAGAGAAGCAGCTGCCAGCGCCGCGGATAATAGTGACCCGCACGTCCGGATTGCGATCCGCAGTCTCCAGGGCATCAAACAGTTCCGCCCGCAGCTCATTGGACAGGGGATTTCGCTTCTCCGGGCGATTCAAAGTAATCCGGTGCACATGGGGCAGCGGATCATCTACCAGAATTTTGCTATATCCCATGATCCCGACTCCTATTTAAAAGCAAACTTGTCAGCCGTGAACGCATTGAAGGTGCGCTCAAGATCGTCACGATTACCTGCCAGAGGCGCGATAATATGAGTGTGCACCCCACCGTCGGCGTCTTCCTGAATACGCGCACGGATTTCGTCTTCGTTACCGATAATGCCGATCTCATCAATCATTTCATCGGTCAGCGCACCACTGGTTTTGGCTCGGTCTTTTGCTGCCCAGCCTTCTGTAATGGTATTGGCTGCCTCTGAATAACCCGCCCAGGCCAGGAACTTGTTGTAGACCGGCGTGGCATAATAAGGACCAAATGCTGCACGGAAGAGGTTGCGGCCGTACTCTTTGTCGTCGGTACACAGCACCATCGCCCGGTTCACAATCTCAACATCCGCAGGGTTTTTACCTGCTTTTTCAGCACCAATTTTGATGTGTTCCATCATTTTTGGCAGCGCGCCTTTGGGCCACAGATTGAAAATAACCCCATCTCCTACTTCCGCCGCCATTTCAATCATGTTCGGGCGCAGAGCAGCCAGATAGATCGGTGGAGGGTTTTCCAGGGGGGCTTGCCGATATCCACGGCTGTAAAGGGTTTCGCCGTCAAAGTCGGTTTTTTCCCCTTTCAGCATGGTGCGCACTAACTGCGCGGTTTCTTTGACGCGGGTCAGCGGCTTATCCAGCGGAATGCCGTTCCATTGGCCCATGATCGTCTGGCTTGAAGAACCCAGACCAATCACAAAGCGACCCGGAATCACCTGACTGATCACGTTGGCAGATGCTGCAATCACGGAAGGTGAGCGCGTATAGACCGGGGTTACCGCCACACCGATGCGTATGTTTTTGGTGTGGTGACCCACCGCGGCGATCTGCGTCATGGTATCCGGGGCGCCGGAATCGCTGAACCAGGCATCCGGGAAACCGTTGTCCTCCGCCCATTTCAGCCGATCAACGGTGTCTTGTATATTTGGTCCTGCCGGCAGTGTTACTGCAATTCGTTTTTTCAGCGTCATGTGTGCTCCCCAATCCTGGCTATATGAGTAAATTTTTAAGCGGGGCATAGACTCGCATTTTGCTTGCCCGCAGATCAAGCCGTATGCTACGCGTCCTTTGGAAAAATAGAGACAGCGACATGAGCGATGTAGAGCTCACCGCGGTACGCGATGCACACCGTTTTGACGAGAATGCCCTGGAAGCCTACATGGCCGAACATGTAGAGGGTTTTCAAGGACCCCTGACTGTGAAGCAATTCGAAGGCGGCCAGTCCAACCCGACGTTTCAGCTCATTACACCGTCAGTCACCTACGTTCTGCGCAAACAGCCCCCTGGTGAACTGCTGCCGTCTGCGCACCAGGTTGATCGCGAATATCGGGTTATGCATGCCTTGTGGGACACACCCGTGCCCGTGCCAAAAATGTACTGCCTGTGTGAGGACACCAGCATCATCGGCACCAAGTTCTACGTCATGGAGATGATCGAAGGTCGCCTGTTCACAGAAACCCATCTACCGTCCCTGACTAACGAAGAGCGTCGTGCCATCTACCTCGATCTTGCCAGGGTCATGGCACTGCTGCATGCCGTGGACCCTGACGCGGTCGGCCTGTCCGAGTTTGGCCGCCCGGGAAATTATTACGAGCGCCAGATTGGGCGCTGGAGCAAGCAATACCAGGCTTCAAAAACCGAGCAGATAGACGCCATGGATACATTAATGGCCTGGCTGCCGGACAACATTCCAGCCGATGCAGGCAGCGTGATCGTGCATGGCGATTTTCGCTTAGGCAACGTTCTGATCCACCCTACCGAACCTAAAATTGTTGCGGTCCTCGACTGGGAACTGTGCACCTTAGGCGATGGCCTGGCAGACCTGGGCTACGTGTGCCAGGAATATCACGGTGAGTCATACGAAGACGAAGGTCTCGCGAGTGTAGACTTTGAGGCCACCGGCATACCCACAGAGGCTGAGTTTGTTGCCGAATACTGCAAACATGCGGGTAGAGACAAGATCGACAAGTGGCACTTCTATCTCATCTACAACATGTTCCGTTCTGCCGGCATCATTCAAGGTGTTTATAAACGCGGATTAGATGGCAACGCCAGCTCTGCTAAAGCGCTGGAATACAAAGAAGCGGCAAGGACACGATCTGAGCGAGCGGTAGCACTGCTTGAAGAGTACCTTTGACCAGGTAAACAACACCCAATCCGCAGATTGAAGCTGCTTGAAAAAAGGCGCGTTTACCCCAATGTTTCCCCTAACTTAACCGCAACGTAGACCTATGCTCAGAATTGCCCTTTTCCTCGGTACCAACATCGCCATCATTGCGCTGATCAGTGTGGTTTTCCGCCTGTTTGGCTTTGAAGGATTTCTCGCCGAAAACGGTGTAGACCTGAATCTCCAGGCGCTGCTGGTGTACTCCGCAGTGGTTGGATTTGCCGGCTCATTCATTTCTCTTGCGCTGTCCAAGACCATGGCTAAACGCAGCATGGGTGTACAGATTATCGAGCAGCCTTCATCCCAGACTGAGCGCTGGATCCTGGAGACCGTTGCCCGCCAGGCTGAACAGGCAGGCATCAGCATGCCTGAGGTAGGCATATTCGATAGCCCCTCGCCCAACGCCTTTGCAACCGGCTGGAACAAGAACGCAGCGCTGGTGGCTGTCAGTACGGGTTTGTTGCGGCACATGGAGCGCGGTGAGGTTGAAGCGGTGCTTGCTCATGAAGTCAGCCATGCAGCCAATGGCGACATGGTTACCCTGAGCCTGATTCAGGGCGTGGTGAACACGTTTGTTATTTTCCTGTCGCGCATTGTGGGTCATCTCGTCGACCGGCTTGTTTTCAAAGTGGAGCGCGGACATGGCCCTGCATTCTGGATCGTTTCGATGGTCGCTGAAGTCGTTTTTGGCATGTTAGCCATGGTGATTGTTATGTGGTTCTCGCGCTGGCGGGAATTTCGCGCAGATGAGGGTGGCGCTGCTCTGGCAGGCAAACAGAATATGATCAACGCCCTGCGCAGACTGCAAAGTGCCAGCGACGCAGAACCCATGCCAGATGAGATGCGCGCATTAGCCATTAATGCTGGAAAGATGCAGGCGATGTTCTCCAGTCATCCGCCATTGGAAGCTCGAATTGCAGCGCTGGAAAGCAGTATCTAGATAACAAATGAGCCTACGCTGTTCGGTCGCGCAGGCTCATTATTTGTGGTCTATAACATCTCGCCTGCGATCACTTCCAACGCCTCAGGCTGCTGGCAACCCAACAACATGTTCGACACATGGCCTTTACTGTCAGCGGCTTTCCAACGGGCCAAACGCTCTTTAATACGCTCAGCAGGTCCCACCAGATGACAGGCATCAATGAGTTCCGCTGGCACAGCGGCCATGGCTTCATCTTTTTTGCCTGCCAGATAAAGATCCTGAATCTTCACCGCCGCGTCTTCAAACCCTAAACGCTTAGCGTAATCGTTGTAGAAGTTTTTGTCCCTTGCACCCATGCCACCAATGTACAGCGCCATGCTGCCACGAATAGGCACCATGCACTGTTCAACGTCATCACCCATAACCACTGAGACAAACGGCGCTATCTCAAACTGCGTGAGGTCTTTATCACCAGCGGCGGCAAAGCCTTTTTCAATTGCCGGCTGGAAAACCGAGTATTGCTCAGGATCCATCCATACGGGGAAAAATCCGTCGCAAACTTCAGCTGCGGCAGCAACACCCGCAGGTGTAATGGTGGCTGCATAAATCGGAATGTCTTCCTCACAATGCAGAATGCTTTTCAGCGGTTTGCCAAGACCTGTGGCACCCTCTCCGGTATAGGGTAATTGATACATCTTGCCGTCAAACGTAGCTGGTCCCTTGCGTTCAAAAATCTGCTTCATGATCTGCACGTATTCTTTTAAACGGGTGACCGGCTTGCCGTAAGGCACACCATGCCAGCCTTCAACTACCTGCGGACCAGAGGCACCAAGACCGACAATAAAACGTCCACCGGACAATTCTGCCAGACTCAAGGCGGTCATTGCTGCCATGGCGGGTGTACGCGCAGGCATCTGCATGATGGCGGTGCCAACTTTCATCTTGGTGGTTTGCGCAAGGATCCAGGCAGCGGGTGTAACGGCGTCGGAACCATAGGCTTCAGCGGTCCAGATAGATTCGTACCCCAAATCTTCGGCATGTTTAATGGCATCAATCGGTATGCTCATCTTGCGACCGGAATAGCCGGAAATTAAACCTAGTTTCATATTGTTTCCTCAAATCGTTGAAGCTGCGATGGTACCATTGTTCAGACTCAGCGGAGACCCATCATCAGCGACTCAGACCAACCCGAAGATTCAAAACCGGCAAGCCTTGCTGAGCACCCGCAGATCAACCCTCTATCTGTGCAGGCGGCCAGTCTGGTGCGCTCAATCGATGCCCTGTCGAACATCTTCTGGCTGTGTTTCCTGGGGTTTTTCCTCAGCGTGTTTTTTGCAGGATTGTCACAACTGGAAGGCAATGCCTACACCGACTACATCTTCCTCGGCGAATACCAGGTGCCCAAGTCCATTCTGCCTCTGGCCTCTTTGTCCTTTGCCGTCTTTGCATTCTGGATGGTCTCCAATCGCCTCAACATGCTGGCCTATGTGTTGGGCAGCAGCACCCTCAGTGGCACAGTCATGCGTGACATCTTTGCGCTGAACCCGCCGGTATTACATGTGTTCGATCGCGCGAATGCAGAACCCTGGTCGATGTTTACGGGCATCAGCGTTTTCATATTTATCTGGGCTGTGTTTTTTGGCAACGCCATCGCCCTTATCTGGTCCGGGGCCGTCGAGCAAGGCGTAGCCGTCGCCGAATTCGACCCGTTCCTGCTGGGCGTGTACTTTGTCGTTATTATTCTGGTGTTGGTTTTTGGCACCCGCGCCATTGTGCCGCCACTCAGTGCAATCTTGAGTACGCTGCATGGCAGCTCTTTTCGCATCGGCTGGCAACGTTATCTGATGGCGCTCGTGGTGCTGGTGACAACTGTCATGATCAACCAGTCAGAGCAGTTGTTTTCTAATTTTGATAACGAAGACAACGACCTGATCGGACCTGCATTTGCCAACGCCATAGATGGCGAAACGCTGTTTATTCGCGGTATTGAAGTGGCGCTGTTTGGTATCGATGCGGTAGAGCGTGATCAGATCTGTCAGGACAAAGACGGCAAAGACTACCCGTGCGGACAGCGTGCCACCCAGGCGCTGCAAACCCTGGTGCAATCCGAGCCGGTTGTCTGTTTACCTATTGTCAGTGTGAATGAGAGACGCGTTCTGGCAATTTGTGAAGTCACGAGCGATGTGAAAACCGCGCCTATGGCAGCAGCTGAGTTTCTTGAAGGTTACCGACCGGACAGCTTATCCCGGCTGATGATTGTCGAAGGCCACGCGGTTGGCGTCGGCTTAGGTCAGGAAGTATTCAGTGAAGAAGAAATTCAGGCACAGACTTTGCGGCGTGGTATCTGGCAAGGGTCATTCCAGCCTCCACGCCTCTGGCGCAGCTCACAATCCAGTAAATAGGATGCGCTAGGACTGGGGCGGCTTGTAGCCCAGGCAATACGCGACCAGTTTATTGCCATCCAGGTCACGGAAGTAGCCGCCATAAAAACCCATGGACGATCCACGATCATGGGGGCGGCCTTCATCAGTTGCACCCAGGGCCAGCGCTTTGGCGTAAAGCTGCTCAACCATTTCCGGGGTTTGCGCATCCAGGGCAATCATGACGCCATTGCCGGCTGTCGCCGGCTGCTCATCAAACGGCGTAATAACAGAAAACATCACGCGTGTGTCCGGCGTCCCCCAACCCAGCATGCGCTCATCCGTCATGGTCCGGCTTGCACCCATTACTGCGAGCAGCTCATCATAGAACGCGCCCGAGCGCTGCAGGTCATTGGTACCCAATGTGAGATAGCCAATCATCAGCGGGCTTGGATGTGCTTACGCCGCATGCCGTTCGCCGAGATAGCGCATGATGTCCAGAGATTCAAACATCCACTGCACTTCGTCTCCACGCTGTATGCGTAAACAGGGCACGGTGCCTCGACCGGTTGCCGAAAGCAGCTCGCGATAGGCCTCAACGTCCTGATTTATGTCACGCAGAGGAATCTCAATGCCGTTTTCAGCCATAAAGCCGCGTACGCGATAACAGAAACCGCACAGGTCGGTTTTAAATAACTGATAGCTTTCTTCAGATTGCATTTTGAAGACTCAAATAGAGTGAAGTGCGGGAGCCTAATACCTGGAGAACCCTGGGGTCAATTAGGTAAACTGCGCGTACTACAAATTGAGGTTGTGCTCCGCATGGCAAAAAAAGACAACAAGGTCATCATGGCCCGCAATACCATCATCGCGTTTATCTCGGTGGTAGCCATTGGCATTCTGGCATTTGGTACCTATGTCAGTACCGATATGGGGGCCGGTGAGATTGCCGAGGAAAACAACGACTACCAGGTGATCGAAAACCCAAGGCCCAGACGTCCCGGCGATCCGATAGAAGTCATCGAATACTTTTCTTACGCCTGCATACACTGCAAAACCTTTGACCCGATTATCGAAGAATGGGCTGCTGAACAACCTGAAGATGTTGCTTTTTCACGCGCACCCGCCACTTTTTCGCCGATCTGGGCGCTGTTATCGCAGACCTATCTGACCTTTGAAGATCAGGGTGTGCTGGATCAGAACCACAGTCGCATGTTCCGTGCGATTCACGATGCCGGCCGTCAATTCTTAACACCGGAAATGGTGGCTGAATATGTTGATGGACGTGGCTTATCCAGCGCCGAATTTCTGCGTGCGTTCAATTCCCCAGCGGTTAAAGAAGCGATGCGCAAAGCAGAACGGGATCAGCTGAGATTTCAGATCGCGGCAACACCTTCACTGGTGGTTGCAGGCAAATATCTGGTGGGCATGAACAATGGTCAGCGACGTGCGCTGCGGGTTGTTGAACACCTGCTCGAACAGGAACGCGCTGCAGAGGACACAAGCACCTAGACTGAGCACCATTATACCGCCAGGAGAAGATAGCCACTCAGCTGCAATGCTTCGAAACAATAATCCAATAGCGTCACCTTTGTTGGCGCTGTTTGAATGCCCGCGATTAACAACAGGTTTGTGCCCAGGCAATAGATTATGGACGACGAGACTAATTCTGATGGCGTGCAGCGTTTCCAGACTGGTGGCGGTTTGTCGATTGCTGCAGCGCTAACGGAATCATCACCAGAGCTGTTGGTAGGGAGCGAGTTTAACGGCTACCGTTTGACGGACTTGCTGGGCCATGGCGGCATGGGCATGGTCTTTCGCGCCGAGCGGACCGATGGCGAGTATGAACGCACTGTAGCGCTCAAGGTGGTCACCAATGCGCTCGCTTTTTCCCGCTTTCAACGGGAACGGGAAATACATGCACAGCTGAGTCACCCCAACATTGCGCGTTTCTACGACGCCGGCACAAGCGAAGCAGGCGTGCCATATATCATCATGGAACTCGTGCCGGGCGATCCCATTGATATCTATTGTCGGGCGCAAGAGCTCAGCCTTAAAGATCGAGTAGGTTTGCTCATCAAGGTGGTGGAAGCCGTCGCCTATGCCCACGCCAATCTGGTGGTGCATCGAGACATAAAACCCACCAATATCCTGGTTGACGTAACTGCATCGCCGAAACTGCTGGATTTCGGCATTGCCAAATTCACCGCGGACGAAGGCAGTGAACTGACCGGTACCGGTCGGCCTTTGACACCGATCTACGCGAGTCCCGAACAGGCCCTAGGCCAGTCCGTGAGTATTGCCTCGGACATCTATCAGTTAGGTGCCTTGGTTGCACAGATATGTGCCGATAAGCCGCCTTTTATCGACACGACGTTAGCGGGTGCTATACACCGGGCAGAACAAGATTTCGCGCCGCTCCAGCCAGAGGTGAGGCGCCTTCTACCCGCAGACTTGTTAGCTGTTGTGATGCGATGTTTAGCGCCGAATCCAAGCCAACGCTACGCCGATGCAAATGCTCTGGCTGCTGAGTTGATCCGCTTTCAGGGTGGCTTTCCTGTAATGGCAAAAAACCCGGGGGCGGTGCAGCGTATGCAGAAACTGGTATGGCGACACCCGCTGGCCGCCACAGCCACCGTGTTGACCCTAGTGGCTGCGCTAACCAGTAACTATTGGTACACCCTGCAACTCAAACAGTCGAATAATCGCGCTCAAGTAGCCGCGGCCGAAGCTGTGGCGCAGCGTAATCAGGCAGAGGCCGAAGTCGCAATCAATAGCCAGGTGACTCAGTTTCTCATTGACCTGTTCGAAAGTTCCGATCCAGTATCAGGTGATCCTGAGGATTTCACCGCAGCTCAACTGCTTGATCGGGGGGTGGCGAGCATAGACGCATTAGATGAGCAGCCACGAGTGCAGTCTGCGCTGAAACACACTATGGGTGAAGTGTACGTAACCACCGGTCGATATGCGGAAGCGGTGCCACTACTAAAAGATGCGTTGCTCAACAGCACGTCTTACCCACAGCGGGTCCGCGTGAGTATCACTTTGGCTAACGCTTATCGCGAGCTACATGAGTACGAAACCGGCTTGGTCCTGCTGGAGCCATTGGTTGCAGAACTCGATCGGAATCCCGCACTGGTTCCCCAACGGGAATACTATGCTGCACGCTACCAGTTGGCGCTCTTGTATACCGGAGCGGGTTCTTACGATAAAGCACCTGCGCTGTTGGATAGATTGGTTGCAGAAGCAGACCTGGTGTCGATTGATCAGCACATCAGCACCTTGCTCGAACAAGCCTCCCTCACCAACAAACTCGGCGATTGGGAAGCAGCAGAGCAGCTTTATCAACAGGCGATTAATCTAGAGCTGAAGCAGAATGGATCCGGTTCGTACAAAATGGGCAAGATTCATCAAAACCTGGGCAATCTCTATCAATTTCGCCAACGCCTGACAGAAGCGAAAACGGCCTATCTATCAGCGTTGGCAAGCTTTGAAGCGGTTTACGGTCCGCAACACCCTCTCGTAGGCGGCGCTATAGGCAGTCTGGGAAGCGTGGCGTGGCGTCGGGACGAACTGGATGAGGCAGCGGCATACTTCCAACGCGCGGTGGATATCCTTACTGTCACGGTGGGACCAGATCACCCAGACACCGCCAAAGGTTACGGGTCCATGGGTCTGGTTTATCTTGACTTAGGGGAAGTTGACAAAGCTTTTGCCGCTCTCAAGCGTACTAACGAAATATTCGAGCAGCACTATGAGCCGGAGAGCATTGATCTCAGTACCAGTAGGAGTTTTCTGGCCAAAGCGTACCAAGCCAAGGGTGAGCATTATCAGGCTGAAGAACTCTTCAGACAGGTGTTAGAGACTAGACGGAAACTCTTACCAGCAGACAATCTAAGCCTGCTGGATACGGCCCATGCCTTGCTCAACACATTGAGGGCCCAGAATAAACTCGCAGAGGCGGACGCGTTGGAAAACGAAATAGATTTCACACCGCTACACGAAGCTTTGGCTCGGACCCATGAATGAATCAGTCTGGGGCGGTGAAGGCGGGAAAGAGTCAGGACCGGGGTTTGCGCTAAGCTTCGCGCGTTATCGACGTTGTTTTTATCTTGATGATATGGGCACGTCTGATGGAAGAAAAAATTGAGGAGAGGTGAATGTTGAACCTGGCGAAAAGAAGAGCGCGTGGGTTTAGCCTGGGAGTAGTTTTGCTCCTGTGTGCATGTGGTGACGATAATACAAGCGGCGAGCTTGCGAATACCCCGGAAAATCCGGTACCTGTAGCAATCCACGCCGATGTCGTGACTACATCCGGAACGGTGCGTGGCGCAGTGGATAACGGAGGTTTAAAACAATATCACGGCATCCCTTATGCCGCCCCACCGGTAGGTGATCTGCGGTGGGCTGCACCGGTTGCACCCGCTAAGTGGACCGATGTGCGGGACGCAACTCAACCAGGCCCCGCTTGCATGCAACCTTTGGGGCAAGGCGGCTCGTTCTACGGGAGCGGTGATATTGCCATGTCAGAAGATTGCCTATTCCTGAATGTCTGGACCCGCGCGACCACGACGGATGCTGCACTACCGGTGATGGTCTGGATTCACGGTGGTGCACTGGTGACAGGTTCTGGTGATACCTACCCTGGTGAAGCGATAACGCAAAAAGGGGTAGTCCTGGTCACGATCAACTATCGGCTCGGGCGCTTCGGTTTTCACGCCCACGCAGATTTAAGTGGCGAACATCCAAAGGGTGTGTCCGGCAACCAGGGGCTGCGCGACCAGATCCTGGCGCTGGAGTGGGTCCGTGACAACATTGCAGAGTTTGGCGGTAATCCAGATAACGTCACCGTTTTCGGCGAGTCCGCCGGCAGCTTGAGTGTGTCATTATTGCAAGCCAGCCCCCTTGCAAAGGGTCTTTTCCATCGTGTTATTGGTCAAAGTGGTGGCGCATTCCAACCCATGTGGTTCCGTGATCGTGAAACAAGCTATGCCGCTTCCGCATATTCACTTGGCGCCAGTTTTGCAAGCGCACTCGCTGGCGAAAGTATGGACCCGAGCCTGAGCAATCTCCGTCAACTGTCCGCACAGCATGTACTGGACACCTTTGGGTCGAACCCGGAGTTTTCGAACTACGACAGCCTCGCCATCGTTGATGGTGAAGTTATTCCAGCGGAAGTCAGTCAAATATTTGCAGCAGGCAAACAAGCCGATGTACCCGTTATGATTGGATCCAATGCCAACGAGGGATCAACCTTCCTGGAGTTTTTTGAACCCATTTTCGGTGAAGGTGCCGCAGGCTTTACTGCCTACGCTCAGGCGACGTTACCCGAGGTGGCGGATGACATTGATACATTTTACTCCCCAGCGTCAGCGCGTGATACCTGGGTAGACTTGTTATCAGATGTGTTATTCACTCAACCTATGCGGGTGTGGGCTCGAAGTATGGCTAACGTTGAGAGCGATGCTTACCTTTATTGGTTTACGTGGGCACCGCCGATTCCTGAACAGGAAAAATATGGCGCGTTCCATGCAGCGGAAATCGGCTACGTTTTTGGCGTACCCGAAATGTTTGGAGCCACTCCCACCGAGGCGGATCACAAATTCTCGGATCTCATGACCACGGCATGGACGCAGTTTGCGAAGACGGGGAATCCCAATAGTCCTAGTTTACCCAATTGGCCTGCTTATAGTGGTGATACAGAAGCGTACATGGAACTCGGAGTGGACACCGGCAGCAAGGCGGAATTACGTATCGGGCAGACTGGTCTTATTGAACAAGCGTGGACGCAACGCCGCAACGGGGAAACAGCCATAGGCGAGTAGCTAATCGCACGCGGGTGCCGTCCCTCTGGAAGCACCTAATTATGCCGCCGCCCGGTTCAAACCAAAAGTAAAGCAGCTGCCCTCTGCAGCAGTTGAGGTGACCGCGATGCGCGAATCGTGTAACTCAAGGATGCGTTTCACAATGGCCAGACCCAACCCAGCATTGTCAGTGACATCTGCTTCTGATGCATGGCGATCAAAAATGGTAGGTAAAACATCGGCGGCAATGCCACATCCGTTGTCCTTTACTGCAATATCAATCGAGGAAACCCTCGCAACAAGACCAATTTCAACGCGGCCGCCTTCGGGTGTGTATCGAAAGGCATTACTGATCAGATTCTCCAATACCCTTTGAATAAGGCTGATATCCGCTAGCACGCCAACATTGGCGCAATCTTCGAGCCCCTGAAAAGACAATATGATCCGTTTCTGTTGCGCAGCAAGTTCAAACTCCAGGCCCACGTCATGCAGCAGCTCAGCGATGAGAAACGGCTCAATCTCGGGCTGGACGGCACCGCTATCAAGCTTGGCCAGCTCAAACAACTGGCCCACCATCAGGTTCAGTCGATTAGCGTGTCGGAAGGCAATCTCCAGATAACGACGGCGTTCCGGCTCTGCCAGATCGACATCTTTTATCAATAAGGTTTCCAGATAACCCTGCATGGATGCCAGAGGTGTCCTGAGATCATGGGATACATTGGCAAGCAACTCCCGTCGCAATCGATCATTGGTTTGGACCTGTTCAAACTGGGCTGCCAGCCGTGACGTCAGCTGCATGGCCTGGGCTTTCAGCTGGCGAATCTCCAGTGTGTTTTCAGGTACGGCCTGGATGTCCCGATCATCCATAAACCCACTGTCGGTGTACTTACGCAGCGCAAGTTGCAAAGCATCCAATGGCACCGTCGTTTTACGGATGACATAGATACCCACAAATGCAGCGAACAGAAGCACAACCAGGAGAATCGATCCCGCCATACGACTGATAAAAGACCCGAAATAGGCGTCCTGCACCGCATCAAAAAGGTAGCCGCCTAAAACCACATACAGGTAACCCTGCAACTGACCTGCCGTTTCTATGGGTGAGGCACTAAACGCCTTACGCCGCTCAGAACGAGGGTCATCACCCATCACTAGTTCTCCAGGCTCAGCGGACAGAAAGGTCAAAATGGGTGCCAGTGCGACCTGTGGCGTTAGAACCGTTTCTGCAGGCATCACATGTGCAACAATTCGACCTTCTGGATCCAACAGATACACTTCGACACTCGGGTTAACCGTCATGGCCTGATCCGCCAGGGCTCTAAACGCCTGATCGTTCACCTTGGCATCCTCGATCAGTGTCAAACGGTCAACCACGTACATCGACAGACTTGCGTTCAGGGTTTGATTGACCTCATGAAAGTATAATTGCGAGGCGTAGCGTCCGGTCCACGCTATGGCAATACCCAGACCGAAGAGCAGCATGATCAGTGCCCACGCCAAGCGCCATTTAAGCGACATGTTCTAAAGACAGATCGTCGTTGAATTTGTACCCGACACCCCAGACGGTGATAACGTAGTCGACACTATCATCTGCCTGTGCAAGTTTTGTGCGCAAGCGATTGATGTGGGAATTGACCGTATGCTCGTAACCTTCGTAACCAAAACCCCAAACCTGATCTAACAGTTGTACACGTTTAAACACCTGGCCGGGAGCGCTGGCAAAGAAAAGCAACAGATCAAATTCTTTAGGGGTCAGTTCAATGGCTTTTGCGCGCACCTCAACTCGGCGCCGCGCTTCATCGATCCAGATGTTACCGATACGCCGAGAAGCACTGCTGCGCTCTTTTTGCCGATCTAACGCAACCCGGCGCAGTAGAGCATGAACCCGGGCCATAACCTCGACAACGCTGAATGGCTTGGTGACATAATCGTCCGCGCCAATCTCCAGACCTAACACTCGATCCAGCTCAGAACTTTTTGCGGTGAGCATAAGAATAGGGAGTGCGTTGCCTTCCTGACGCAACGTGCGACAGATTTCCAGCCCATCTACACCATTCAGTCGTAGATCGAGAATGACCAGATCCCAGTGAGCTCTGCGCAGTTCAATCAGTGCCTGTCTACCATCCAGACAATGCTGGCAGTCAACTCCCCGGTCCTGCAGGTGCATGCTCAGCAGCTTGCCGATATCAGGCTCATCTTCTACGACCAGTACACGTTTGCCTTCCATGCCTCGCCTCTCTCCCAGGTGTCTGAACATATTTCGACGCCTGTCTTTGTCGATAGTTCACTGCACGCTGCAGGCAAAACTTCACAGAAGTATCACGGCGCAGTGTTTATTGCCGTGAGGGTTTTGTGATCTTTGCGTGAGGATTGAGCCATCACAAAACTCTAACCTGATCTGGCGCAATGACATTGCGTTCAACACTACATGAGGAGACGAAATGAGATCAGTAATCACCGCCTTGGTGCTACTTGGGTTTACAACCAGCGCTTTCGCCACTGACAAGGCAACAGCAGTTCCCGAATACAGAGTTACCATTACAAACATCACCAAAGCATCGCAATTCACGCCAATTCTGGCGGCAACCCATCGTGCATCGATCCAGTATTTCGAGTTAGGTACCCCGGCCAGTCCAGGACTGGCTTTGATGGCGGAAGATGGCAATGTCGCGCTACTTGCAGAGGAGCTGACTGCGACAGGCAAAGTACTGGATGCTGCCAACAGCGCCGACGTGCTCGGCCCGCCACCGCTTTTATTTGCAGGCCAGAGTGTGACCTTGACGCTACGGAGCCCAACTCGACATGCACGCCTGAGCTTAGCCGCAATGATTCTTCCTTCGAACGACAGCTTTGTAGCGCTCGACTCAGTCAGTCTGCCTCGCCGGGGGCAGAGAACCTATTACGCCCGCGGTTACGACGCAGGTAGTGAGCCGAATGATGAGTGGTGTGCAAACATCCCGGGACCAACCTGTGGAGGCGCTGGCGCTTCTCCCGAAGAAGACGGTGAAGGATTTGTACACGTAGCCAACGGCATTCAAGGAATAGGCGATTTGCCTTCCAACACCTACGACTGGCGCAACCCCGTAGCCAAAGTTGTGATACGCCGAGTTAAGTAAACTCGTCTAATTACGCTGTCGGGCCGGGCTCTAGCTGGCCCGAGAACTTTTATCGGGATCTGCGCAAGCGCGGTAGAACGTTCTCAGCAATATAACGCATACGTTGCGTACCGGACTCCACGGACTCACCCGGGAACTGAGCCCAGAAGTGGATATCTCGAATCATCGGATAGTCGTTCATCAGCGCACTCAATTTTTGAACCGCAGTATCAGCATCCCATAGTTCGTAAAGACCATTTTCGATCGCGCTTGGCGCGTCTTCAAACAGCGGAGTCTGATCCGGCGGGCCAAAAGCGCCCCACTTTATGTATTCGTTGGTCTGATAAAGCACATGTTCACCGAGCCGAGCCGCCTCTGCCTCCGGGTCTTCAGCGATGATGGCCCAACAGCCCAGCATCACATTACCCTCGTCAGGTGCTCTGCCATGCCGCGCAAGTGCCTGGACATATAGATCCAGACCGATGCCGCCGGTGCACAGAAAGCCATCGGCAATGCGGGTCGCACGGTCAATCGCTGGCTCGACCATACCGCCAAGCAGTATTTTGGGTGCATGCACCGGAGCAGGTGTGACGGGGAGGTTGCCGACATTGAAACGTTTGCCTGAAAAGTTCACCGGTTGCCCACTCCAGCAGCGCCGTACCACTTCGATACCCTCCTCCATAAGTGAAGGTCGATGGGATAGTTTGCGCTGAAACTGATCGAACTCGAGCTCGCGGTAGCCAATACCCACACCAAGATCAAATCGTCCGCCGGTACACAACGACAGCGTTGCGCTGTCTTCGGCGATACGCACTGGATCATGCAGCGGCAGTAACATGAGGTTAGTACCGATACGCATGCGCTCGGTACGCGCCCCAATCGCCGCGCCCAGCACCAATGGGGAAGGTGTATAACCATCCTCACAGAAATGGTGCTCGGTGAGCCAGACTGAATCAAAACCCATACCCTCAGCTTGAGTTATCTGAGCCAGGCGTCGCTCGTAGAACTGTTCAAAGGGTTCAAGCCATGCGGCGGGATTACGAAAGTCATACCAGAGACCGAAATTAACCGACTTGCTCATGACCTGCTCCCTTCAGACTTAAGAAGTGGCTTTGCGAACTGCAGGAGTGCTTCGAGATATTGTGCTTGCGCCTCGATAAACGGCGCATGGCCAACCCCGTCAAACTCAATCACACGCGCCTGAGAATGATGCTCATCCACCCAGCGGCAGATGGGCGGCGCTACAAAACTATCCTCGGAGCCGACAAAAGACAGGATGGGCAGGTCCAGCGACTTCAACATATCGCGTTGATCGAGCGTCGCCAGCTCCGCCAGGGTGGCGCTGGCTGCAGGAGAGGATTGGAGGAAAATCTGCCAGAACCAGTTTTCAATATGCGCGCCCACATCGGTTGCGCAGATAATTTGTGACAGACCGTGCAGGAAGTTAACCCGATCTGTGGATAGCGCCGCCAGGGTAGCTGACATGTCGGCTTGCGTACCACCATGGGCAAAGTCAGGTTTTTCGACATAGACAGGTGTAGCCCCGCTGGTCAGAACAAGACCACTGCACCGCTCGCCAAGCCTGGCTGCAGCTTCAACCACCACCGCTCCGCCCAGGGACCAACCGTTAAGGACAGCTTTTTCAAGCGCTAACAGGTCAATCAGCGCAACTAAATCAGACGCGATGGCATCGATACTCATATCTGCGAAGTCTTTATCTGACTGGCCACAACCACGATGGTCCAACAGTACGATTCGCAAGCCCGCGGCACTCAGAGCAGGAAATACATGATCCCATGTACGTACGCTCATACCCCAGCCATGCACCAGCACAATGGCGCAGGACCCTCGGCCATAGTCTTCGTAGTAGACCCGCTTATTGTCCTCACGCTGCAGATAGCTCATCGCATTACCTCCCTGTCCGGGGTGTCTCGACCCCATTTCCACCAGCTAAGTACCGGTGGCTCCCCACCGGCAATATAGTCGTCCTCAGCCGAAAGTTAAATTAGGTTGAAGACCTGCTTCACCCTGGATCTTTAATCCACTACCTTTAGTGCTCGCCAACAGGCGATGTTCAGGGCGTTGCAAACTATGGGGGGAATAGTCATGTCCATACAGCCACCACTGGATTTCGACGCGATCGGCGTCGGCGCTGGTTTTGCCGGACTTGCTCTGGCCCACCATTTACGTGAAGCAGGATTGTCGATTCGCATCTTCGACCGCGCATCCGATATCGGCGGCACATGGACGTGGAACCGTTACCCGGGCGCTGCGACAGACAGCGAGGGTTATTACTACTGCCTGACCTTCTCGAAGGAAGTGTTGCAGGAATGGTCCTGGTCCCAGCGCTACCCGGGATGGGAAGAAACCCATCGCTACCTGCACTTCGTCGCTGACAAAACAAACCTGTGGCCACATATACAGCTGAACACCGAAATTGTTGCTGCGCAATATCAGGAAGACGCTGGATACTGGCGCGTTGTTACCTCTGCGGGTGAGCAATACACCTGTAAATACTTCATCAGTGCCATGGGCATGATTTCGCACCCCTATATGCCGGATATCAAAGGCATTGATACATTCAAAGGTCCTATATTCCACTCTTCACGCTGGCCGCAGGACGGCCTCGACTATGCTGGAAAGCGTGTGGGTATTATCGGCTGCGGTGCAACCACGGTTCAGATGCTGCCGGTCATGGCCCAAACGGCAGCGGATGTTACGGTCTTTCAGCGCACGCCGAACTTTGTCATGCCTGCCGTGCAGGAGACAACAACGCCTGAGCGAGACAAAGAGATTAAGGACAACTACGAGGACATCATTGCCAAGTGCCGGAATCATGTATTCGGCATGGCCTTCGACAGCCCTGTTGGACGCAATCTTGCTGATACGCCCCCAGAGGAAGTACAGCGCATCTTCGAAGAGCACTGGCCAAGAGGCAGCTTTCGCTTTGTTTTCGAAACGTTTGATGACTTGTTATCCAGTGCAGAATCTAACAAAGCAGCAGCCGACTTCATCGCCAGCAAGATAAAAGAAAAAGTCAACGACCCGGTTGTAGCTGAGTTACTGACCCCAAAAGGTTATCCCCTGTTTGCCAAACGCCCACCGCTGGACCACGGATTCTACGAAGCTTTCAACCGCGATAACGTCCACCTGGTCGACATCAAAGACACTGAACCCCTGGTTGCAATCACGGAAACCGGCGTGCAAACAACCAACAATTTATATGAGTTTGACATCATCGTGCTGGCCACCGGTTTTCAAGCCTATACCGGCGCACCTGAAGCAGTAGACATCCGGGGTTTGGACGGCGTCCTGCTGAGAGACAAATGGCAGGACGAATCCGCGTCGATCATGGGTGTCTGTGTGGCTGACTTTCCAAACCTGTTCCTTATCACTGGTCCTCAAGCCCCGTTTGCCAACCTTCCCACATCTATAGAACAGAACATCCTGTGGATTACCGATTGTATTAAGAAAATGCAACGCGAGGATTACGATGTCTTTGCACCACGACTGCAGGCGCAGGAAGAATGGTCGCAACACACTGCCGAAATCCACGCGCAGACGCTGATGGCGCAAGGTGACAAAGTGAACTCCTGGATGATGGGCGCCAATATTGAAAACAGGAAACCCAGGGTGCTTATCTACTTCGGCGGTGCAAATGTGTACTACGACAAGCTACGCGAATCTGTGGAAGCAGGATTTCCTGAACTTGAGTTTGAGCGATTGGAAGCCTGAGCCAACCCTTGCGATACAAGAGGAAACGATATGGACAAGATAAAGCTTTTGATCTGCATGATAACACTGGCGTTCACTTTATCCGCGACAGGCGCGCCTGAATCAGCTGAGCCCCAGAAGCGAATCGCCCCAACAATGCCAGAAATTGTATACCGCGACGATGCGGACATCGGTTTGCTGGCGCGCTTCCATTTTGCAACCCACACGCGGGACTTTGATAAAGCCCGGGCATTCTACAGACAACTTGGTTATACCGATGGTGTGTCGGGATTTCCGCTGACCAACACCCATCAGATGGCGCGCGCCCTGGGCATGTATGACTTGTGCCAGTATGAGCTGGTCAAAGGCGAAGTAATCATGCTGCCGGGCAGCCCGGGAAGTGGCGCGATCGATCTGCTGCAGTTCAAAACCCCATTCAATGGCGAGGCGCCTTACGAACTACCCAATCATCTGGGCATGGCGTATGCGGCCTTGTTAACAACGAATCTTGATGCGGATATAGCTCACCTTGAAAGCCTTAACGTTAACTTTCTCAGCAAGCCCTACGGAGAAATCGGCGCGCGGTTTGTTTTCTTCCGCGATCCGGAAGGGGTTTTATACAAACTTTTCGAAATCGCGCCACCCATCGTGGCAGACACAGCCACAACGCATATAACGGGCATGCCTTACATAGGCGTGAATGTCAGTGATTTTGAGGTATCACTTAAATTTTATGCTTCGCTCGGCTACACAGATGTGCAACCCCTGCCCGAGACCGGCACGCTCGAGGAAGCGCAAGCTTATGGCCTGGACCAACCCTTCCGTATCAAAGGTGCTGACATCTCCATCACCCGGGGGGATAGACATACCCTGCGATTGGTTCAATGGCTTGATCCATACAATGCCGAACCCCCCTACCCGCTGCCGATCAACCGCATCGGTATAAATCGCATTGCATTAATGGTGCCGGACGTTGATCGCGCGGTTGATATTCTGCATCGCCAGGGCGTGCCGTTTGTTTCCGAGATTGCCCCGTGCTGCTCAGGCAGCGGCACTGATACCACCGGCATTGTGCATGCCATAGATCCCGATGGCGTGTTCCTTGAATTTGTGGGCAGCATAGCCCCGCGAGGCTCTATCCCACAGCCCGAACATTGCCCGGCGCTTGAGATCAAGATGCCGCCAGCGGGCTGATGCATTAGCCCTATCGCCTACGGCGAGCGCTAAAACCCTGCCCAAATTTTAGATTAACTATCCGTTCGTCCCCTGAGGCGCACACCAGCGGGCCCGGGTTACAAACAGAATGGCTGCCATCACTGCGAGCACCGCATGCATGCCCATACCTGCAGCCTGGTCGCCGGCAAGCGTCAGCGAGACAAATATCGACACATGGAAAGTGAGTAACAACCCTAGCAGGGGTGTAACAACTCGAATTTCACTGCGGTAAGGCCACAACCATAATGAAACACTTGCGATAGTCAGCGCCGCAAATCCATAGTGCATCGACCACTGCTCACCCATACCCGCAGCAAAAATACCAGCTGGCCCGGTGATAAGCGCTGCAGCCGCCAGCAGCTCTATCGCGCCGTGGGCGATCAAAAAAATCGCGAACACTTTCTTCATTGTCTTCTACCTTTTTTGCTCAAGACCGCCACATGGAACTTACCAGTTCATAGTCAACGTCACACCAACCTGGCGTGGCTCTCCCAACTGGGTGAACACGCGATCGGTGTAACCGTCACGTGGATCATTACCAAAGAAAAATCCGCGCACAAAATAATCCTCGTCGCCCAGATTACGCGCCCATAACCTGGCTTGCCAGGCTGCAGCTGAGTAGGTGAGGCTGGCATTAACCAGTTCGTAGGCATCGGAACGCTGCGCATGGCTGGCGGAAAAGAAAAATTCATCTTTGCCTTCCACCTCGAGGCGCGCAGACCAGCGTTCGCTCACATCCCATTGCAGGCCAGCAAAGAACTGATAACTCGGCGCATGAGCTTGCTCCCGGCCATCCAGATCATTGCCGTTCTGATCCACGTAATCGCGATATTCAGAATCAAGCAACCCCAGATTGGCAAATGCAGAAAGCTGCTCGGTCAGCTGCAAGGTGGTCTCCAGCTCTATCCCCTGATTAAAGCCGTCTGCTGCGTTACCAGTGAAAACAATAAATTCTTCCGCGCCAGGTTGCCCGATGATGGGTACGGTCCGGGAAGTAGAAATCTGCACATCCCGTCGCTGCATACGGAACAGTGCCGCACGCAACTCCAGCCTGTCGCGCCAGGTGCGCGCCTTATAGCCCAACTCCACATTCCACAGCCTTTCAGGATCGAACTCGCGAAATGCTGCAGTTAACGAGCCATCCAGGTTAAAACCGCCTGCTTTATACCCCTGGGTAACGGACGCATAAAACAAACCACCCTGATTTAGATCGTACTCAAGCACCATACGCCCACCAAACAGGTCGTCCGCCGGGGAGTAAGACAGGCCGGAAATATCTTCGTAATCGGCGCTGTGTCGCTCGTACCGGACACCCAGGGAAAGCCGCCACTGCGCACTCAACTGCCGACCCACTTCACTGTAAACGGCATAGCGACTGACATCGTATTCACTGCTGAAGCGCCCGGCCGCAAATGTGTAATCACGGTCCAGCTCAACCGCCTGATCCAATAAATACACCCCCACCACCCAGTCCCAGGTACCTTCACCAAATCCCTGGCCAGGCTGGGATAACCAACGCAGATCAACAGTTCCTGTTGCACGCGTGCGTTGATAGCGATCCGTAGAGGTATAACCAATCGGATCAAAGCCGGTGAATGTCCAGTCTTCGTCGTAACCGTAATCAATGTCGCTGTCCGCAAAACTCAGCAGCCCTTCGAAGCCGACTCGTTCAGACAGATCCATTGCCAACGACAGCGCAGCATAATTGGTTTGTTGTTGGTCCTGCCCAGGCTGATCCGACAGCGTGGTGCGATCGTTGTCTAAAGAAAAAGCATCGTAGCCGTTGTCTACATTGATCCGACCCAACGAAAGGCTCCACAGCGCTGAGTCGGTCTGCCACACAAACTTGCCTCGGTAGGTAGATTCCTCCCGATTGCTGGTGTCGTCTTTATTGAGGAAGTCGTTCCGCATAAACCCATCATCCTGATACCGCTGGACGCTGATGCGATAGCCCCCTTGCGACCCCATCGGCCCTGAGACAATTGCCCCAATCCCTAAAGCGTCATAGTCACCCGCATCAAGCTGCAGCGCGGCGCTGTGCTCCGGCGTCGGCGCTGGGGTCACCACGTTAATCAAGCCAGCTAAAGCATTGGCGCCATACAGAGTGCCTTGGGGGCCGCGCAGTACTTCCACTTGAGCCACATCAAATAGAGTTGCCGCGGTGCCGAGCCCACTTAAATCGACCCCATCCACAAGCAGGCCGACAGAGGAATTCAGCGGATCAGAAAACTGGCTGCGCTCACCTACGCCGCGAATCTGAATAAATCGCGCGCGGGATGCGCCACTGGCAAAATTTACATTAGGGATTTGAGCCAGCACTTCTTCGAGATGCTGCACCGTCGTGCCATCTTTATTCGGCTCTACAACGGACGCGCTTGCCGCGGTATCCAGCACCGAGCGATCACGAAATTCCGCGGTAACCACAACCTCTTCCATCAATTGCGGGTTCACGTTATTCGCGGCAGACGCATTGGCTGCAGTGAAACAGGTCAGAAAAAGAATCTGAAAAATGGTGCTGGAGCGCATGGCACGGGTTCCTTAAACAAAAAAACAGCCTAAGGTGTGCATCTAAACGCCTATTCCTACGCCGGTGTTAACCGGATCAGGTTCAAAGGGTCCACCACATGGTGTCTCAGGCGCTCGGCCACCCCTTAGGATGCCGACATTAAGCCCAAACTAAGTTGCGCTGTCGAGCGACATTCAGTTTAGGTTCAACAAAGTTGTCTTAAATTTGGATTCTCATGGGCCGTGTCAAGCGCCCGCCAGAGCTAGGGAAAGTTAGTAATATGCAGGAATATCAAGCACTTATTCAGGTCATCGCCCTTACCATGGGTGCGGCCTGGGCCAGCGGCATCAACCTTTACGCGACCATTGCGATTCTCGGTCTGGCCGGCAACAGCGGGTACATTGACCTACCTGAAACACTGGCGATAGTGCAGGACCCGATGGTCATCATTGCCGCTGGGTTTATGTACTGTGTCGAATTCTTTGCCGACAAAACGCCGGGTTTAGACACCGGCTGGGATGCGATCCATACCTTTATAAGAATACCTGCCGGGGCAATGCTGGCTGCCGGTGCTGTGGGTGACGTGACCCCCGCACTGGCGGTTGCAGCGGGCCTGGTTGGCGGTACGGTGACCGCGGCCACCCACGCTACAAAAGCAGGTACGCGGGTGCTCATCAATACCTCTCCTGAACCCTTCAGCAACTGGGGTGCCTCCCTTGCTGGAGACCTCGCCGTGTTTGCTGGTCTCTGGGCCGCGTTAAGTCATCCCGTACTGTTCCTGATTGCGTTTGTGCTGTTTCTCGGCCTGATGATCTGGCTGCTGCCAAAGCTGATGCGAGGTATCGCTGCTGTGGGCCGCAAAGTCGGCAGCTGGTTTAAACCCACGCCTGCAGCAGGCTGAAGCGGTTAAAAAATTCACCACTTTTCCATAAAAAAACCCGAGTTTGCTGGCACAGTGATAGGCTTGTCAGCACGCTCACGGACACCCTCTGACCTTGGCCGCTCGAAAAAAGAAAGTCACAAAAAAAGCCACCACTAAACCTGCCGGATCACGCTGGTTGAAACCCCTTCTTAAACTGGGTTTCTACAGCGCTCTGCTGTTTGGCTTGGCCCTGGTCGGCTACCTGATTTACGTTGACCGAACCATTACCCAGACTTTTGAAGGTCGCCGCTGGTCGGTGCCGGCACAGGTATTTGCACAACCTCTGGAACTTTATGCCGGCGCGCGCTTGAGCCGCGCAGAACTCACCATTGAACTGGAGCGCCTCGGTTATAAGCGACACGCCAACCTGCCACATCCGGGCACATTCAAGTCACCAGGGAACGAATTACAGATTTATCTGCGCAGCTTTGACTTCATGGAGCGACACCGAGATGCGCAGCGCATTTCGGTCGCCTTCGCCGGCAAACGCATCACCAGAATAAACGGCGAAAGCGGGGATATTCCGCTGTTAAGATTAGACCCTGCAACCATCGGCAGCTTCTTTCCCAGCCACGGCGAAGACCGCATCATTCTGTCGCCGGAACAGGTACCACCGCTGTTATCCGAAGGTCTGAAAGCGGTTGAAGACCGTAATTTTGATGAGCATGCAGGATTCAGCATCCGCGGCATTGCTCGCGCCTTCATGGTGAATCTACGCGCCGGCGAGCGCCAGCAGGGTGGCAGCACCTTAACTCAGCAGTTGGTTAAAAGTTATTTTCTCGACAACCGCCGAACCATCGAGCGCAAACTCAAAGAAGTTGCTATGGCGATCATCCTCGATGCGCGCTTTTCCAAGGAAGATCTGTTAACCGCCTACATCAATGAAATATTCCTCGGACAAAATGGTTCTCGCGCGGTGCATGGATTTGGCCTGGGTGCGCAGTTCTACTTCAACAAGCCATTAGCTGAGCTTGAAAGCGACGAGATCGCAACGATGATTGCGATCATCCGCGGTCCATCTTTCTACAATCCGTTTCGTCATCCTGAGCGCGCGCTCGAACGCCGCAATCGTATTCTTGCCACCTTCGAAAGTGACGGCTTGATAGATACCCAGCAGCTGACCACCGCGCTGGCCCAACCCTTGGGCGTTGTCGCCAGTCCCACCAGCGGTGGCGCCTACTACCCGTCGTTTATGGATCAGGTGCGCACCGAGCTTAAAGATCAGTATGACCCCGAGGCGCTCTCCTCTGCAGGTCTGCGCATCTTCACAACCATCAAGCCCCACCAGCAGGAGGCCGTGCAGCGCGCGGTGAGCAACACGCTGAATCAGATTGAAGGTGATCGACAGATCGAGCCAGGCACTTTACAGGCAGCTGCAGTAGTGGCAGACAGCCAGACCGGTGAAATACACGCTCTGGTGGGTGGCCGCAAAGGCCGGGTGGATGGGTTCAACCGCGCTCTAAACGCGCAGCGTTCAGTTGGCTCGCTGATTAAACCGGTTGTGTACCTCACCGCCATAGAATCCGGCATGCACCTGGGCACAATCATAAAAGACGAGCCGATTACCATTGAACCTGAATTTGGCGACGTCTGGGCACCTAAGAATTTCAACGGTGAATACACCGGCGAGCTGCCGATGATCCGGGCGCTGGCGGAATCATCTAACCTGGCGACTGTGCACCTTGGTATGCAGGTGGGGTTGCCACTCATCCAACAGCGGTTCCGGCACCTCATCGGTCACGTGCCACAGAATCAGTACCCCTCATTCCTGCTCGGCGCCGAAGCGCTGTCTCCGCTGGCTATGCTTGAGCTGTATGGGAACTTTGCATCCGGCGGTTTCCGCACACCACCCAAGGCCGTTATTGCGGTGCTGGACGAGCGCGGGCAGGCGTTAACTCATCACCCGTTTGAGTTGCAACAAACCATTGAGTCCCGGCATGCGGCAACCATTAACCGCGCCCTGGAAATTGCCATGGCTAAAGGTACGGGCAAATCTTCACCCTATGCCAGACGCGGTGTGGCAGGGAAAACCGGCACCTCTAACGACAATCGCGACAGCTGGTTTGCCGGTTTTGACAACAGCCATGTCTCTGTCGTCTGGGTCGGTAGAGACGATAACGCGGTTACCGGGCTGACCGGCGCATCAGGCGCTTTGCGAATCTGGAACGGCATGGCGCGACAGGACGGTATTGATCCGCTCACGCACGCGCCCAGTGCAGACCTGGTCGACATAGAATTCAGCAGCGGCTTACGCGCCAACGCCGAATGCGCTGAAGTGGTGAATGTGCCTATTCCTGACTATGAGAATCTGCAAACCAAACCCGGCTGCCGCATCAATTCCGGCGGTGGCTTACGACGCTGGTTTGGCAGTCAATAACTACCTATTATTAGCTGCTCCTACGCAGCTTTGAACATAGTGAGTCCAGTGACCGTAACCCGCAGACCTCAGCAAACCTTCCTGCCAACCTTCATCGCGGTGACGTTGTTACTGTGGTTAAGCGGCTGCGCAACGCCACAAACAACCCCGCCGGTGATCGAGGAGTCAGGGACGACACCGATTGAACGCGAGGCAGGCGAGGTTGACACCGGAGCAACCCAAACGACGCCAGACACTTCCGCCGCCACCGTCACACTCCTCGCCCAGGCCCAGGCCGCTATGGCTGATGCCGCGCCGCAGACCGCGATTACTTATCTGGAGCGTGCCGTACGTATCGATCCTCGTAACGCAGAGCTTTGGACCGAACTCAGCGCAGCACACCTGGCAGATAATAATCTTGCGGCGGCCAACCAGCATGTGCGCAAAGCCATAGCTCTGGCAGGCGACGACCCCGCGCTGAGCCGTTCCGCATGGTTGCAGATGGCTGATATCAGACAGGCTGAAGGCAATCGCAGCGAAGCCGACGCTATCCGCCGGCGATTTGCTGCCGTACGCGGATAACCCTGGCTTAAACAACCACCAGCCCAAGAGAGAGATATGGCCTACAAGGAATACAAAGTATTAACCGTTGCAGAGGGCGGTTGTGGCACGTTACTGGTGGGCTCGTCAGGACTGCCAATCAAAGAGCTTGAAACCGAGCTCAACAAACACGCAGCCGACGGCTGGCAGCTGGTTTTCCAGGCAATAGAAAACAAACGTTTCATGCTGTTCTGGTCCCGGGAAACTGTCATTGTCACTCTGGGGCGCTGAGCCAAACTGATGCAATCTCCCAGGCAACTGGCGTGCGCTCTGATACAGCGCTACCAGCAAGGTGGTGGCGGCCTGCGTTATTTTGGCGTGTCATGTAACTTCACGCCCACCTGCTCGGAATACACTCGCCAGGCTATTGAAGACAAAGGTTTGCTGCGCGGCAGCCGTATTGGCTGGGCGCGTATCCGCAGATGTAAACATCGACACCTGCAAGCCCCGATAAATGACCCCTATAGCACCGACCAGGCAAAACGATGTTTGAAGCTCTGAACCTGGATGCCAAACAGGTCGCCAAGGAAGAAGAAGCCATCCGTCTGACGGTACGCGAACTCAGCGATGCCCAGCGTCTTGTCTTTTACGAGTCGCTATCCGAGCAACTCAAAGACCCTGACACTTACGCCATGCTGAACTATTTTTTCCTGACCGGCCTGCACCACATGTACCTGGGAAACTACACGCGTGGCGCCATCAACATGAGTTTATTACTTGCAGGGATCGTATTAGCCATCAGCGGCGCGTTTATTTTTGGCGGACTGATCATTGTCTTTATCGTCTGCGTAGAAATGATGGCGCTGTTTCGTTCCCAGGTAGTCGTACAGGATCACAATAACAAGCTATCAAGAAAGATTTTGAGCAGCCTGGACTAGTTTACTTCAACAACTCAATCCAGTGCACAACATCGACACCCTGCCCCGCGGCCAGATGTGTCTGACAACCTACATTCGCGGTGGCAACCAACTCTGGCTTGCCGCTCATAAGGGCAGCCCATTTATCAGCTTTCAACTGCTCCGACATCTGCGGCTGCAGAATTGAGTAGGTACCCGCAGAACCACAACACAAGTGGCTGTCCGGCACTGGCGTCAGATCATAACCTGCTTTTTGCAGAAGCTTCCCAACAATATCTTCCAGCTTCTGCCCATGCTGCAGCGTACAAGGTGAATGCCAGGCCACCCGATCTATTGATCGCGCCTTGCTCCAGCTCACATCCAGGCCGTCCAGAAACTCACTGACGTCACGCACTTTCGCAGCAACTGACGACGCGCGCGCAGCGTAGGTTGAATCATGCGCCAGCAGGCGACCATAGTCTTTAAACGTTACACCACAGCCAGACGCACTGGAAATAATGGCATCCGCCGATTCGGTTAGTTCATACAACACATCAACATTGTGCCGGATACGATTCAGGGCCTGCGCTTCATCACCCAGATGTAAATCCAGCGACCCACAACAACCTTCTTTGGGCGCAGCGGAAACGTTCACACCATGTGCCTGCAGCAACTGGGCGAGCGCCACGTTGGTCTGTGGTGTACTGACTTGTTGGGCACACCCGTTCAGCAGAACCACGCTGAGCGCATTTTCGTTAGCAGGGGATTTTGGCGTACGAAACGGCTTACCCACTTTCGCCGGCATATTTTTCGCCAGATTCTTCGGCACCAGAAAGCGGAAAATCCGACCTAATCGGGCCATGCGCCGCAATCTGCCGGCATCCGGAATCAACCACTGCAAAAATTGTCGCGTGCGCCCGGGCAGACCACTACGTTTTACGCCCAGGTTGTTTCTGGTGATTTCCGCCAGCTCGCCGTAGGCAACCCCTGACGGACAGGTGGTTTCACACGCTCGACAGGTCAGACAACGGTCAAGGTGGAAGGTGGTACGTTCTTCATTTTCACCTGTTTCGAGTAGCTCCCGCATCAGATAGATGCGTCCACGCGGACCATCCAGTTCATCACCGGTGATCTGATAAGTTGGGCAGGTTGCGTTGCAGAAACCACAATGAACACAGCTGCGCAGAATTTCGTTGGCGCGCTGACCGTCATCTGTTGCCAACAGCTGTGCAGGCAAATTAGTCTGCATGATCAATCCCGTTTTCTATCGGCGACAAAAACAATCCATGCGGATCAAACGCCTGCTTGATCGCCAGCATGTACTTCCCGGGCAGCATATCTATACTCTGCTGCTCACCTTTTGCATGTGCCCAACCACCCACTGCCTTGGCATAGGCCCGCACTATGGACTCGTCTTCATGCCACCACCAGCGCTGGCCACCTGCCCATTCCATCGCAAAATTGTCAGCGTCAAAGTATTCCGGTAGCGGAGCGGCTGGCGGCGTGATCACTCGCCAGAGTTTCTGAGCGGTTCGATCAGGACCACCGCTATAGGTAGGTTTAAAAAACTCATGATCATGATGACAGATCTGTTTCCAGATCTGATCTGAATGGCTTCGACTGCCACCCAGGTCTGTAATTTGCTGCTCAACGGCCTGTGATGACCCCGACAGTCGCAGAAAAAGCTGGTTTCTATTCCACCAGGTGCCATTGAGCGGCGAGTAACTACACGCCAGCTCCCGACAATATTTATTTGCCGCGCTGGCATCCATCTCAAATGACAGGGTCGCAGTGGATTGCACCATCGGCTGCACCCGCAAACTCACCTCCAGGAGGATCCCCAGAGTTCCCCAGGAACCCGCTGCGAGACGCGATACATCATAGCCTGCCACGTTTTTCATAACGCGACCGCCAAAATCCAGGATTTCACCTAAGCCGTTACACAGCTTGATACCAAGCACGGCATCCCGTGTGGAGCCGCCCCAGGGTCGAGCCGGACCCGATAGCCCAGCAGCAACCATGCCTCCAACTGTGCCAGAAGCGAAAAACTGCGGCGGCTCGAACGCCAGATGTTGATTGTGCTGCGCCAGCACGGAAGTGATTTCTTTTATGGGTGTGCCGCATCTTGCCGTGAGTACCAGTTCAGCAGGGTCATAAGCAACCACGCCCTGATGTTCTGTCGTGGCCAGCAATTGACCGTCGCCGGCAGGTAGCCATTGACGCTTACTCCCGTCACCGGCAACCCTTAACCGCGTATGTTCAACTTCTGCGGTTTGAACAGCTTCAACAAAGCGGTGACCGATATCCATCAAAAACGTTCAAGCTCGGGAAACGGCAGTTCACCATGCCGTACATGCATCCCCCCCAGCTCGCCACAGCGAGTGAGCGTAGGTATGCCTTTGTCTGGATTCAGAAGGTTATCCGGGTCCCATGCAAATTTCAGGCGCAGAAACTGTTCTATTTCCATGCTGTTGAACTGAACGCACATCTGATTGAGCTTCTCGACACCAACCCCATGTTCGCCGGTCACCGTGCCACCCACGGCGACGCATAACTCAAGGATTTTCCCACCCATCTCTTCAGTTGCGGCAAGCTGCCCCGGTACATTGGAATCAAAAAGTATCAACGGGTGGAGGTTCCCATCTCCCGCATGAAAAACATTGGCTACCGGCAAATTGTACTGTGACGAAAGCTGGTTAATTTTGTCCAGCACTTCGGACAGGCGGTGACGCGGAATGGTGCCATCCATACAGTAGTAATCCGGGGCAAGACGACCCACCGCAGGAAACGCCGATTTCCGCCCTTTCCACAATCGCGCCTGGGCCGCAGGGTCCGTCGCAATATCCACACTCGTTGCGCCGGCATTTTCCACAATGCGCGACACCATGCCCGCAAGGCTGTCGATCTCTACGCCTGCACCATCCAACTCGATGATCAGAATCGCAGCCGCATCTTGCGGGTAGCCGGCCTGCGCAAATTGTTCTGCCGCCCGGACCGCGAGTTGATCCATCATTTCCATGCCTGCGGGAATGATGCCATTAGAGATAATGTCAGCAACCGCCTGGCCAGCTTTATTCACAGCGTCAAACGCGGCGAGCATCACCACCACCGCTGGCGGCTTAGGCAACAGAGCGACGGTAACTTCGGTGACAATACCCAGCATACCTTCAGACCCGCACATCACCGCTAACAGATCTAACCCAGGGTTATCCAGCAGTGGACCACCCAGCTCGAGCACTTCACCCGTCATGGTCACCACTCTGACGCCGCGCAGATTGTGCACTGTCAGACCATATTTCAAACAATGCACGCCGCCAGAATTCTCGGCTACGTTCCCACCGATACTGCAGGCAATTTGTGAGGAAGGGTCTGGCGCGTAATACAAACCATGCACTTCCGCCGCCTGGCTTATGGCCAGATTTCGCACCCCAGGCTGCAGGCGGGCAATACAGTTGTGCGGGTCTATATCGAGAATCCTGTTCATCTTTGACAAACCCAGCACAACACCGGTTGTCATCGGTCGAGCACCACCGGACAAACCGGTACCTGCACCACGTGGCACAACCGGCACACTGTGTGCGTGGCATATCTGCAGAATCTTCTGCACCTGGGCTTCCGTTTCAGGCAACGCAACCACCCAGGGTTCTTCTCGAATAGCTGTGAGACCGTCACACTCGTAGGGTTTCATTCCGGCCGCATCGGTAATGAGCCCTTCATCAGGGAGAAGGGAGCGCAGTTGATCAATAACTGCCTGAGGTTTTTCGGCGACCATATTCATGGTCGCCATTATGCCCGAAAATGACTAACCGTCAGCGATTAGAAGTGGAAGTTGATCGCAGCATATGGCCCATTTACATCGATCTCCGCCAGGTCAACTTCGTCGAATGCATCTAACTCGACCTGAACGGCCCGATAGCCAACTTCGACACCAAGACCTACGCTGGACTCATAAGCTATTTTTGCGTCGAAGCCGATCAGCGTATTGTCGTCATAGCTGATGCCTTGAGCCTGCGCACCTACCCAAACGCCGGTAAACGGCAGGTCGGCCCGAACCGCGGCGTAAAGCATGGGTACAACCTCATCAAAATCGGCACTTGCTCGCTCGGATAGGCTCGCCACCTCGATGGATCCTTCCACCAGACTAATCGCCAGACCCAAATCTAACGACACAACGTTATCAAGCAGTTCGTAATACAGCACCGCATCGGTCTGGGTTAAATCAATCAACGTACTGACACTCTCAGACAAGCCGAAGACTTCGCCATTGAACTCAATGGTTCGCGACAACACGCTGTCCGCGTCTACATCCAGCGTGTAATACTGCGCCCGGACGTTAGGCAACAATGGTACGCCGTGCTCCAAAGCAGCGTACAGGACAACGCTGTCGTCGTCGTCGAGACCCAGATCATCCTCGATGTCCACGTCTGAAACACCTGAACGGACATCGCCGCTATAACTCTGCTGCCAGGTGCCTGCGCCGGCATAAACGCCGAACAAAGTATCCGCTTGAGCGGCGCCTGCAGTAGCCAGGCTCAGCGCCAGAACTGTTGTAACCAATGGTTTTACGTAATTCATTTTCTCACCCTGCGCGAAGCATCGAATAATTTTCGCAGTAGAGTCTAATCGCGACATTTCCGTAAAATGTGAACCAGTCCACAGCTGGCATCTGTGTGCCGCTGGCTTTAGGCTAGCTGTGACTTATGCCACGTTAACCAGGAGCCCGCACTTGTGAGTATCGACGACAGATTCAGCGACTTGGGCCTGCAGCTGCCAGCGCCCATGCAAACAGCCAGCTTGCCTTTCGATTTATACCGACTGGACGGCCAGATACTTTATCTTTCCGGCCATGTGCCTACCGAGGCTGACGGCAGTATGGCCAAGGTACTGGGTAAAGTAGGTGCAGAAGTCAGTCCTGAACAGGCATATGAAGCCGCTCGCAAAGTCACCTTAGGGTTATTCGCGAGCATCGTAGCCGCAGTAGGCAGCCTGGACAGAGTCGAAGCCTGGCTGAAAGTTTTTGGCATGGTCAACGTTGCGCCTGGTTTTAAAACCATACCTCCCGTGATTAATGGCTGCTCCGACCTGATCCTGGAAGTATTTGGTCCAGACGTAGGCGCACATACCCGCTCGGCCGTCGGCATGGCTGAATTACCTTTTGGCGTACCCGTGGAAATCGAAGCACAGGTCAGAATTCGACTCTGAATCCTGTCGCATCATCATCGGAGCTGACAATGAAGAAAATTCTCATAGGTATTGCAGGCCTGCTGGCCGTGTTAGCGGTTTTGTTTTATATGTTCAGGGATGAAGTAGGGTTTGGCCTGATGCGCATGGCGCTCGAACCGGACCAGAGCTTTTCTGAGGATACTCGACATACCGCACCCGACTATACTCAGGGGTTGCACTGGGCAGCACTGCCAGAGCGTAGTGACGACGCTGATGTGTCGCCGGTAGGCTTTGACCTGGACAACCAGGGTGCTGCAGCGGTTGATGTATTTTTCATTCATCCAACCACCTACTACAAACCCGACTACTGGAATCAGCCGCTGGACGATGTCGACGCAAACACATTTACCGACATACAGGTCTTGCGCAATCAGGCAAGCGTGTTCAACAGCTGTTGCAGAATTTATGCCCCTCGCTATCGGCAGGCAACGTTGTACGCGTTTATGGATGATGGTGATGACGGCGACGCCGCCATCGATTTTGCCTATACAGACGTGCGTAACGCTTTCGAGTACTACCTGCAGAACTACAACAACGGCCGACCGTTTATAATCGCCGGACACAGCCAGGGCGGCAAACATGCGGACACCCTGCTTAAAGAAATAAACGGCACACCGCTCATGGAACAACTTGTCGCTGCATATCCGATTGGTTTTTTCTTTGATGGCAAAGACAGCATACCTGTGTGCGAATATGCCACTCAGACAGGTTGTCAGGTCACCTGGAATTCCGTAGCACCGGACGCGCCTACCTTTTCCGACACCAGCGAGTCAATCTGCGTCAATCCACTCAACTGGTCAGCCAGCGGTGAATATGCGGATTTCAGTGAAAATCAGGGGGCTGTAAGCTTTGCAGCCAACGGCGAGGTTGAGCCTGGCATAGCGGATGCACAATGCGTGAATGGGCTGCTACACGTCACCGACGTGAAATCAGAGAATTACTCTAGCGAGATGTTTGGCGAGGGGAACTACCATGTCTATGATTTCAGCTTCTTCCACATGAATATCCGCAACAACGCGTTGGCCAGAGTTCAGGCATTCACAACACCCTGAACTCGCATTTGCGTCTTTAGGAATACTGCTTGGACATCTGCTCCAGGCACGCAAAAAACTGCTGCTTAACCTCGGCAATCACTTCAGCAACCGGGCGTACGCTGTCAATTCGGCCGGCAACCTGGCCGGTCAGAGCGATACTGGATTCCATGTCACCACCAAAATACAGGTCCGTGGCTTTGCCAAATTCGGTCATGGCGTTGGTTTCATTTTGAAATTCCAGCCGCGTGGTTTTTTCTGTTCGCAGTGCACGTAAAGCGGGTGAGTGGGCACGATTCAGGAAAACCGTGTCGGTTTCTTTTGCATTCACAATCGCATTCTTCCAGTTGTCATGGACCGGTGACTCGGCCGCAGACACCATCCGCGTGCCCATCTGTATGCCTTCAGCGCCCAGTGCAAAGGCTGCAACCATTGACGCGCCGTCCAGAAAACCGCCTGCTGCAATGATCGGCACATCAACTTTTGAACGTATCAAGGGCAACAGGACCATAGTTGAAACATCACGTGGGTTTTTGAAACCACCCCCTTCGCTGCCTTCTACAACAAGCCCGTCAACGCCCGCATCCACCGCTTTGAGCGCGGCATCAAGACTGGGCACGACATGGAAAACCGTAAGACCGGCATCTTTCAACTCTTTGGTATAACGCTCAGGGTTGCCCGCTGACGTTGTGACAAATTTAACCCCCTGATCAATCACAAACTGGACAATGTTCGGATCGCGAACAAATGCCTGAGCGATGTTGACGCCAAAGGGTTTATCTGTGAGATCCCGCATCTTGAGAATTTCTTCTCGCACAGCGTCAAGTTCACCGGAGGAAGTCTCAATAATGCCTAGCGCACCGGCATTGGAAACGGCGGAAGCGAGCTGGGAGCGTGCAATCCAACCCATGGGCGCCTGCACCAGTGGAATCTCTACCCCGAGCATCTCGGTAATTCTGTTTTTGAACGGCATCTGCCCTCTCCCTGTTTAAAAATCTGAGCCGGGAAGTTTAACTGGCCGCATAGACTAATTCACCATTCACCCAGGTTTGTAATATGGCAATGCTGCTCAGCGCATCAGGCTCAACCTGTAATGGATCCTGTTCAAGCACAATAAAATCAGCGAACTTGCCGGCCTCAAGACTGCCCACTTCATGATCGCTGTGACACTGCCAGGCGGCATCAATGGTCATCGCGCGCAGCGCAGCCGCGGTAGATATACACTCCTGGGGAGACAGCTTTGCTTCTGACTTCCACATATTGCGGGTCACCGCGTTCTCGATACAGCGCAGCGGATTCATCTCTGTGACGGGATCATCCGAGTGAATGGTCCAGCGAATGCCTTTAGCTTCACAGGTACCGGTACGATCAAGTAACGATGCTTTATCGATGCCAAATACATCCTGCACAAATGCCTGCCCCCAGTAATAAACATGGCCAATCAGAAAACTGGGAGATAACCCGAGTGCCGCCATGCGTTCAATCTGTTCATCATGCAGGATACTGCAATGTTCGATCCGACAGCGTTGCGAATCTGCGCGCAAACCTTTGGCGGCCGCCGCCTCGAAGGCATCAAGAACGTTATCGATAGCGGCATCACCATTGGCGTGCACGCATACCGCCCAACCATCAGCCAGGCGCTGCTCAACGGCGGCAAACAATTCTTCGCGCTCTATGTAGGCAATACCGGTTTCATCGGAGTTCAGGAAAGGCTCGCGCTGCAAACCCGTACGCCCCTGGTTTGATCCATCGCTGACAATCTTCCAGCCTGTATTACGCACCCATTCGTCCCCTTCCCCCCAGCGACAACCGGCTTCGTCCCAGCGATCAGCAACAGCTTGGGCCAACGAATAGCGGAAGCGAACCGTCATGCGGTTGCTGTCACGCAAACCCTGATACAGATCCAGTTCTTTAGCGCCCTGAAAAAGGCCGGTGCCCTGATCACACAAACCTGTGATGCCAAGCGTGTTGGCGTGGGCAAATACATCCAGGCACGCTTGCGCCAGATCAGCTGTTTTTGTGTGCGGATTGTGACGCGCCACCAGTGCCATAGCAGGACCTGCCTTGAGCACCCCATTAGGCTGACCGTTGTCATCGCGGCCAATTTCAGCACCAGCAGGATCCGGTGTATCCGCCGTCACGCCAGCTAATTGCAGCGCGGCAGAATTACAGTAAGCCAGATGCAGCGAAGCGTTATAGATAAAAATCGGGTGCTCAACGCTGACCTCATCAAGCAGGTCTATCGTCAGATAGTCCGGTCCTTCCTGCAGCGAGGGGTCAAATTGCCGTCCAACCAGCCACTGCCCTGCCGGTACGTCCGCACTTTTCTGCTTAAGGTAAGCTAAAGCATCTTTCGTGCGCGGAAATCTAAATGGGCCCAGATTTTCAAAACTGTGCAACATCGCCAAAGGCGCGAGATGCATATGCGGGTCGATGAACCCGGGCAATATGGTTCTGTTACCTGCAGCAACCTTATGTTCCGCCAGAGCTTCCACAGGCGCGTCCTGTTCCTCGCCCACCCAGCGTATCCTGCCGTCGACCACCCACATGGCGTCAGCTGTGGGTTGATCTGGATTCATGGTCTGAATTTTCGCCTGGGTGACAAACACAGAATTTTCCAGCGCCGTGGTGCGTGGCGTCAGGTGCTTAGCCTGATCAGCAAGATCAACGCCGGTCTGGGCGAGCAACTCACTGAACACATTCGCACAACAGGGACATGCAAACGGGTCAGCCGCGTGGCGTGGCGGGACAGACAGGGCGTACCAGTCTTGTGTAGAAATTTCGTTCGCGGTTACGTGGCTGTCATCAAACATGGCAGGTACCATTAGTTAAAGCATTAAAGAGTCTAACAATGAGCCAGAGCACAGACTACGACATTGCAATCATTGGGGCCGGGGCCGCTGGATTGTCTGTGGCTTACTTTCTCAGCGAAGATGCCCGGGTAGTTGTCCTTGAAGCAGAGTCACAGCCGGCTTATCACAGCTCCGGCCGTTCCGCTGCGATGTACATTGAAGGCTACGAAAACCAGGTGGTACGCCAACTGACTCAGCGCGGCAAAACGTTCTTTTTTACACCCCCATCCGGGTTCAGTGAGACGGCCCTGGTCACTCCGGCCGGCGGCTTGACCGTAGCAGGACCGGGTGAGGAAGCCGAGCTCGAAAACTATCTAAAAACCTGGCAGGCACACTGCCCGGAACTGGACAGTATCAGCACCGCACAGGCCCGGGACATCATTCCTATTCTGCGCTCAGACTGGGTCAGTGCCGCAGCATACGACGCCAGCTGGCATAACATAGATGTGCACGCTCTGTTACAGGGTTATCAACGCGGTATCAAACAACGCGGCGGCACAGTAATAACGGACTTTCGCACCGATCAGATCGAACGGGTTGCGAATCAGTGGCATATCCATTGCGCTGACAAGCAGATTAAAGCACCCATTCTGATCAATGCCGCTGGCGCCTGGTCAAACCATGTTGCAGAGCTTGCTCAGGTTGATACTTTACCCCTGACACCTCTGCGCAGAACCGCGGCAATTGTTCCAGCCCCCGAAAACTGTAGAGACTGGCCGCTACTTCACACTATAAAAGAGAACCTCTATTTCAAACCGGAAAGCCCTGGCCTGATGGTCTGCCCTCAAGATGAAACACCCAGCCCTGCAATGGACGCCTATGCTCATGACATCGATATCGCACAAGCCATGGATACATTTACCCAGGTCGCCGACTTTGACGTGAAGACCGTTATGCACAGCTGGGCGGGGTTACGTACTTTCACACCGGACAGATTCCCAGCAGTTGGCTTTGACTCAAAACACCCTGAATTCTTCTGGCTGGCGGGCCAGGGTGGTTTTGGCATTCAAACCTCACCCGGCCTGGGCGCATTGGCCGCAGATCTGGTGAAACATAAACGCCCACAGGATGCGCAGCAGCTGGTCGAGCAGATCAGAGTAGAAAGGTTTTAATCTAACCGGTATTTTTCCAGCGCATACGAAATTTTCGAAGATCGGTTATGCTCCAATACTGAAGCCGCAGACAAAGGGGAAAGGAATATGAAAATTAATGTTGAAGTAGACATCACACCGGAAGAGCTCAGACGATTCATGGGTTTACCGGACGTACACGAATTGCAGCAAGGTATGATCGAACAATTCACCCAACGACTACAGTCTTCGGCTGAACAACGCGACGAATTCATACAGGGTATGTTCAAAAACGCTATGGGGCCCTGGCAGGCATTTTCAAATGTCATGAACACGGCGAATAAAGCAGGCAAAAGCAGCAATAAAAGCACTTCCGACAAGTAAGCCAGGAACAGCAAATGAGCGAATTAAACCCAAACCCCGGTAACTCCGACATTGAAACAAGACGATGGGCGGCAGCTACGCATATCGCCGCAGTAGCCGGCTACGTTATCCCGTTTGGCAATATCATTGGACCGCTGCTGGTCTGGCAATTGAAAAAAGAAGATGGCCAGCTCATCGATGATCAGGGTAAAGAGTCCGTTAACTTTCAGATTACCGTATCTATTGCCATGCTGATCTCGGCTCTTCTGACGTTAATTCTGATCGGTTTTCTAATGATTTTTGTGATTGGTCTGGGTGCGCTGATTCTTGTGGTGATCGCCGCGATCAAAGCCAACGACGGTGAAGCATACCGATATCCGCTGACGTTGAGATTCATCAAATAGACCTGACCTGGTACTGGGTGCTGCGCAGTGATTCAGGTTACCGCTGCTTTCCCCGGGCGTACCAGCCCAGCGGCGGCAACCAGCAGCACTGCCGCCAGCAGGCTGGCCATAACAAAGTCTCCACTGGCATCCGCCATACGCCCAGATACAGCAGGACCTATCAGCTGGCCAAGTGAAAAAGCCACCGTCATGGAACTGACGGCAAACGCAACTCTGTTCGGCGCCGCTGTCCGAGCTGCACTCAAACCCAATGCAGTGATGGCGCCAAACGTGCCTCCCAGCAACACACACGCCAGCAACAATCCGGCATAACTGCCGCTGATGCCGGCCAGGACAACACCCACTGCTTCTACCAGATAAGCCAGTTTAAGAGTGTTCAAAAGACCAAATCGATTGGCAACCCATTGCCAGAGGTAAACCGATGGTACAAAGGCCAAACCAACCACGGTCCAGACACTGCGAACGTCCACACCGGGGGTATCGAGTCGCTGGGCCATAGCCACGACAAAAGTTGCCGCCACCACATAACCAAAGCCAAAAAAACCGTAGCCGATAATCAGCCGCCACAGAGTCCAGTCAAAGCCCGAATCAATGCTCTGCCGGGACACAACAGGTATCGGTTGAAACTGATGTTTACCAATCAGAAACCAGGCAACCGCCATCAGACCTGCAGACAAGGCACCCAAACGAGCCCACTGGGTACTGACGTCACCGCCGCCGTAAACTGCCAGCATACAGATCAGTATGCCTAAACCGACGCCCGCAAAGTGCACGTTACCAAATCTTTCCTGGCGCTCTTTAGCAAGTACAAACATAAGGTGTGTGGTAACGGCCACCAGACAGAAAGCACTCGCCACACCGCTTAAAAATCTCACTGCCAACCACAGATTGAAGCTGTTTGCTTCAGCACCAAGGTACGTAGTGGCTGCACTTGCCATCAGTGAAGCTGCGAGCCAGATGCGGATATACGGCGACTGGGTGATGGCTGGCGCAAGCAAGGCACCTACCAGATAACCTATAAAATTAGCGCTGGCCAGATCTCCTGCCGTTGCAAAACTCCAGTTATATTGCGCCACCATTTCCGGCAACAATGGCGTATAGGCAAAACGGCCAATGCCCATAGCACTGGCCATAACCAGGGTGGCGCTGATAACCCAGCGGCTTGCAGCACTTAATTGCAACAGACGATGTCCGAGGCAGGTGTGTCGAAACTACCCCGCGGACTCGTTGCGCAGGTCGGGCAATTGATAACCCTGAGCGTCGAGGTCTGCACGGACGATTTTCTTGTCCATTTTACCGGTTGATGTCAGCGGGATTGAATCTACAAACAGGACATCATCCGGCAGCTGCCACTTGGCAAATGCAGTTGCACAATGTGCGAGCACAGTTTCAACACTCACCTCTTTGCCAGGCTCAAGAATCACCAATGCCACGGGGCGTTCATCCCATTTAGGATGAGGCTGCGCAACCACGCAGGCCTGGGCAATACCGTCCAGAGCAACAATATGGTTTTCCAGATCAACTGAGGATATCCATTCACCGCCACTCTTCACCAGATCTTTAGAGCGATCGCTGATGATCAGATATTCCTCTGGATCTATCTTGCCCACGTCGCCGGTGATCAACCAACCATCATGGAATTTTTCCGGCTGTGGGTTGTTGTAATATTCCGAGCAGATCCATGGGCCGCGAATCAGAATCTCACCCACGGTTTCGCCATCGTGCGGCAGCGGATTGAACGCTTCATCAAATATTTCCAGCTCAATTCCAGGCATCAGCTGACCCGCTTTAGCGACGTTTGCAAACTGCTGATCTTCGCTTATGGATAATTGAGACCTTTTCATAACCCGCCGTGACAAGGTAGCCAGAGGTGAAGTTTCAGTCATTCCCCAACCCTGAATCATCTCCACACCCAGCTCATCCCAATACCAGCGAATCAGCGACGGCGGCGGCGCGCTGCCGCCACAGGTCAAACGGGAAAGATTAGACAAGTCGTACTTGCCTGGACTGCCTTGATAAAGCCCTTTGATGCCCTGCCAGATGGTAGGCACACCCGCAGAAACCGTAACGCCTTCCGATTCGATCAATTCTAAAAGACGTTTAGGGTCCATGAAGCGGTGTGGCATGACCTGTTTGCAGCCCAACATGAGGGCGGACCAGGGTAACCCCCAGCCCATGGCGTGGAACATCGGTACAATGCCTAACAACGCATCGGTGGCCGACAGATTCATTGAGTCAGTCATACACTGGGCCATGGTGTGCAGGTATTGCGAGCGGTGTTCGTACTCAACACCTTTCGGATGACCGGTGGTTCCACTGGTGTAACACAGGCCCAGCGGAGAATTTTCGTCGATGCTGGGCCAATCATAATCTGTCGGCTTGCCGGCAATGAAGTCTTCGTAGTCAACCGGGTTGGGCAAGTCTGTCTGCCAGCCCTCAAAGCCCTCTTCAGTAGCTACAACCACCCGTTCAACTGAAGGCATACGATCTTTCAGCACTTCCAGTAAAGGCAGGGCATCTGCATCGGCAATAATGATTCGGTCCTGGGCATGATCGATGATGTATTCAAGGTCTTTATCCGACAGACGGATGTTGAGGGTATGCAGCACCGCACCCATGCCCGCGCACGCATGGTAAGCCTCAAGATGGCGGGAGCCATTCCACATGAACGTGCCAACACGATCTCCAACCTGGATACCTGCGTCGTGCAGAGCATGCGCTAACTGATGGGCACGATTACGGGTTTCAAGATAGGTTTGCCGGCGAACACCGTTCTGCGTTGCTGTCACAATCTCTTCATTTGGAGCAACCTTTGCGCCACGGTCTAAAATTGTGTGCATCAATAAAGGCGTATGTTGCA